AATTACCTAAAACTCCATATGGGTCAAATGACTGCTAATTTAGTTAAAATGTTATTTTACGTTTGAAATTAAAAAAAAAAAAAAGTACATTAAACTGCCAAGTTGATAAAAGAAAAAGAAAGAAAGAAAAAAAAAAAAAACCACAAGTATGTATAAATAAAGATAAAAAAAAGAAGGGAGTCTAGGAGGTAAAGTTAGTCAAAAAGTGGATCATAGGTAAGTTAGTCAAAAAGTATACTATTCATGGTGAAAAAATAGTGGAAAGTTGGATACCATATAAGTCACTCACTCTATTAAATGATTTTATTGGGCTTGTACCATGGGCCGGGCCCTAATGTCTCCTCCTGATGGTCCATCATTGCCCACCACCACCACACATTAATGCACAACATAACAACCTGCCGCATCAAAGACAATCCAACACAACTAGTAGTCGTTGCCCAAGAATTTTTTAGAAAAAAAAAAAAAACCAGTGTCTACATATGGTGAATTGGTGATGGCATTGGTGTTGCAAAAGACTAAAAGGTGAAGGCATGAGAGGGGAAAAAGTGAGAGCGAAGGGGTAAGGATAGTTCGGACTTATAACCGTGAACATGAGGATCATCTTAAATAAAAGTCGACCGGAGTTTGGCTAATATTGATGTCATATATATATCATTCTTATCCAAAGCCCTAAATTTGGTCAATATAAAATTTGTTTCTTGACTTATAAATTTGTTGGAAACCTTTTAATTCTGTGTGTATCTTAATGAAATATACTATACAGAGGCATTATAAATTATAGGAATGGGGAATTCAAACTTGTGATTATAAATACACATGCTGATATGCCTTAAGTTTTCGTCACTATATCAAGACCTCGGATCATGGGCTATTAAAAATATGATTAGGAAATAAAAATTGTAGGTGATAAGTATTAGGTCCATATCAACTTAAGCGCATGGATTAAAGTCTTGGTCTTGCACTAATATTTGTTTAAAGGATGCTAGGACCCAGATTGACTCCAGTCACTATACAATTCCTTAGCTTGTTCCAATAAGGCGTACGTGGTCACTGGAAAAATAGACTTCTGAAAAAATAGTTTAGTTCCATCATGTTGTTGCACACTCATCGTTATACTTTTTGTGAATTGAATAAAGATGACGTAATCATTGTGAGTTATGAACATATGATCAACTAGTGATAAAGTTTAATGAGGAACTTATACATTTGGATGTAAATACAATTCCACTGTTTCACATGATAAATCACACTTAAAATTAAAATCTTGATTTTACTATGCATTCATATGTACTGTTAGATGATCACCTTAATCAAAAACTTAATTAAACTAATAGTTAAAGTCCAAGATTGATTTATATACTCTATAATGATCTAAATATTATTGTTAACTTGTTTTATATTGTGCGATTTAGCACTGATAAAGATTGAACAATAATGCAATATACATCGTCATTCAATATATATACAAACTAGCTAAACAATAGTCCAATCTCTCTTTACATACAAAATTTTGTATTTGTATGTATATAATGTAGCAACCTAACACCTTTAAGTAAGGTGGAAAATCTTGGTAAATGGTAATGAGAGATCGAAAGGAGGCCACTAGTGAAAAGTTTCCTTGATGCATTGTTTTTGGATATCAACCTTGTGTACATGTGTAGTGACCACGAATTTCTTCACGCCAGTCTTCAAGGTTAGATTATTGAGAAAAACGAGGCGATAGTTTTTAGCATTGGAAAACCATATTAAAACACTTTAAAGTTACATTGATTTTTTTTTTTTCTTTTTTAAGAAACATTAAAATATTATTACGGAGTAATAATCATATTAAATAAAAAAAAAAAAAAAAATTTGAGTAGATGAGAGTTTGATTGTATGAGAGTTTGGATTGAGGAGCTCCCTGCGAGTTTCAGGTCTGATGTTCTTTTGATGCTCTTAGTGTGAGCTAATAAATTTCTGCTATGTTCTCCCGTCAAAAAATAAATAAATAAAATAAAAGGTAGAGCCACTAGTAAAGGTGGAAGAATGTAAACGGACAATAATTAATCTTTTGTTTTCTTTTCATTTGCAACACACTTTCATGACACACGCTTTGAGCAAGCTAAGAGATCGAGATTAACTAATTAAGTAATGTAAACAAAAGAATTAATCAAATTTTTTTTATACACATAGTACCTGAACCTTCTCCAATTTTGGTGTTGAATTTATTTTTTTATTTTTTTATTTTTTATTTTTAAGGAAATCTTAGTGTTTAAATTAATTTTGATAAAGTTGCTCGTTTATCTATACTCTAATCAATTCCTTAATAAAGTGTGTCCAAATGTTATAATGCAAATAATGGAGTAGAAAACAATGGAAGAACAAATCTACACTCCTTTCTGTAACCGTTAGGGGCCGTTTAGTTGGGAGTATTCAACAAAGGAAAAGGGAATCAACTGTCATGATTCCCTTTATTAATGTTTGATAGGCAAATTCAATCATTCCCTTTACCCCTCCCATTACCCCATTTTCCTCTATTTTCATTCCCCACCCCCCCAAGGGAATCACCCTAACCCCCAAACTCCTCTTCACTCAACTACCTTGACCAACCTTTTAACTACCTTGACCACCCTTGAAACACCAACTGCCCACCGACACCACCGCCCAACCACCACTAGAACCATCGCCTAGCCACCAACAAATCGTCGACACACTGACGCCACCACAGAAACTACCCAAAACCATCCAGCCACCATCGAAACTACCCAAAACCACCCAGCCACCACCGCACCACACTCCCCACCACCGAAAAAGCTAACCACCCCATCGAAACCCCTAATTAACCACCACATAAACAACCCCAAACACCCATAAAAAGCCTTTAACACCCTAAAAACAACCACCAGATCTAAGAAAATTTTACTCAAAAAAAAAGAGAAGAGGGTTGGCGGCGGCGGCGATGGCGGCGATAGAAGGTAGCAAGTGACGATTGGAGGGATCGGAGGGCAACAAACGTGACTAAAGTAATGGTTGTAGGGTAGAAATGGTGGTGGTTGTAGAAGAATAGATAGTGGTGGTTGTAAAGGTGGATGGGGAGGGGCAGTGGCAGCAAGCGGGCGGCGGTCTGATGGGAGGGGCGACGACGTGGTGAAGAGGACAGTGAAAAAGCAGTGGTGGTAGGGTGAAGTGTGGTATTGAAGTGGTGGTGGATGTAGGGGGAGAGGTAGTAGTATTTGTTGGGCTAATTCCCTTTCCTAGATGCAAAACAAACAACAATACAAAAATAAGGGTTTAGATTTCCATTCCTTTTGTTTCCCTTTCTTAAAGTCATTCCCTTTCACCTTCACCAACCAAACGGCTCTTAGTATTATCTCTTACATTTGTATACGGCAACTCAATGAGTCAATTCTTGCATGCCTACATTCATAGTTGAAGACTCCACCTTGATGGGCCTTAATGCTTTTGGATATTTATAAATGATGGAAGTTAAACCCATGTTGCAATATGTTATATTATGTGCTTACTGTGCTTATAGACTATGCAAAGTGGACTATGCATATTGGTCGTTTATGAAAAGCTCAATACGTGTGACAAGTTGTTGGTTGGGCTGGACGAATTTTTAGACTAGATGATTATTTAGTCTTGTATTTATATTGTGATAATATTCTGGTTATTTATCTCTAACAAATTCGTCTTACTTTATGATAAAATCTTTACTCTTATCTAACTACTTTGTTTTGCATAGATATTTATCTTTTTTTTTTTTCTGCAGTTTTCTAAACTTTGGGATAATAAATTATCTTAATAATATTCAATTTTATCAGAATATTCGTGTCAAGGGATAAAGATTAATTTAAACTTGATTTTGTTCTTATCTAATGCTAACCGATTTCCTTGAAATTTAAATGTTTGTTTTGCAGAAATCCCTTGAAGATAGACTGATTATTTCTGTTGAAAGTTGATTGTTGAATTTGAAGCCCAAGAATAGCGCAAAACCTATTCAAGTAAACGTTGAAGGTGCAACAACTTTTCAAATTCAAAAATCAGAAATTCTAGCCTCCTCATTCTATAAATAGCGTGCAACTCTTCACTAGTTGGTGTCAGGGATCAACGGAGTATTATCAAGCTTCACGTTATTCAAGAGTTGTTAAAAAAAATTTCTCTCTAGTATTGTACTACTTTATTGAGTGATTAGTTTGAGAGAAAAGAAAAAGTATATCAAGAGTGCTTAAATTTTGTTATTAAAAGAGTGATATACTATGAGTAGTATTATAATACTCAAAGTATAGTAAAAGTAAGGTAGCTTTTTATTTATGGGAATTGAGTTGCTAAGGTGTAGCTGGGTGGCTGCGGAAAGAAGATGGGAGATCTTCTAGGTGCTTTGGGACTCTAAAGGAAGAAATAAAGAGATTTAAAATCCTATGGGTTGAACAACCCTAGGCGGAGACGTAGGCATATTTGCCGAACTTTGTAAAAATATCTCTGTCTCTTGTCTCAGTTTATTTGCTTTACTTTACTGTTTTTATTTCTGTTTTTAATTCGTAATCCATATTCTACCTAAGTTATAAAGTTTGTTTTTTAAGCCTTGAAGTAAATCTCAAAGCCTTGACTCTGATAAGCAAATCAGTTTATTCCACCTTGAAACTGATTTCAAGACCTTGAGATTTACAGTTCTGCGTAAAATTCCCATATTCTATTCAACCCCCCCCCCCCTCTAGAGTATACTTGTTATTATTTCATCACCCTATTGATCCTTCAATAGTAGTCTAAGTAAAAAGGGGAAAGAGTTGAGTAATCTATAAATTTTAATTTGTTAAGTTTATGTAACCTTTAACTGTATTATCTCCTCCATCTATCCCATTATATGTTGTATGTTTTTTTTTGCACGGTTTTCAAAACATACATTTGACCATCATCAATATAATGCCTCTAATTAAGAACTAGTACTAACAATTTTTTTTTAAAAAAAAATTATCAATAAAAAAATGCAAATAATTGTTCAATAGAAGTATAAATTGTTTGAAACCAATCTGATCTTGTGAAGCCCAACCTTAGACATTAAAAAAAAAATACTTCGTATATACAATATCGGGAGCAAATTAAATATAACATTATGTGTAACAATAACTTCTTAAAGATTAAACTACTTTGATATATAAAGTATAAATTAACCTAGTAATAATATTAGTTAACGTGCCAAGGATTCATCTGGCAAGTTATTAGTACTAGAAGAAGGGTAATCAGGCCATGAGAACAAAGGAGTAGTAGGACTAGAATTAGTCATAGTAGGTGGATTTGAAAATCCATAAAGAGACACATACACTCCTTTAGGACGAGTACTAGGTAGTTCTATTAGAGGTTCATCTGGATTTAGCAAAACCATCACCACTTTTCGCATTGTCGGTCTCAAGTTCGATTCCAAATGCAAGCATGCTAGTGCTACACTTAAAACCCTCACAGCTTCATCCTTGTTAAACTCCTTAATTAGCCTAGGATCCACACACTCTACCAATGCACCCTTCGCGTGCATATCCCATGCTTGATCCACCAAGCAACTTTCGCCTAGGAGGTTACTAAACCTCTTCCCACACACCATCTCTAATGCCACGACGCCAAAGCTATACACATCCGACTCTGTTGTTGCCTTCCCGGTGTAGCTCACCTCAGGAGCCATGTACCCTAGGGTTCCTGCCACCATTGTGGTGACCCCTGCTGTGTTCTTTAGCAATCTAGCGAGCCCAAAATCACCAAGACGCGGGTTGAACTCTGCATCTAGCATGACATTACTAGGCTTCACATCTCTATGAACCACTGGATCACCACATTCTTCATGAAGGTACAACAATGCTGATGCTAAGCCAGTTATTACTTTTTCCCTCGTCTTCCAATCCAAGAATTTTCGGCCTGAGAGGAATTCATTTAGGCTCTTATTAGGCATGAAGTCATATACAAGAAGAAGACTGTCGTTTTCATGACTCCACCCTTGAAGTTGCAATATATTCCTATGCCTTAATCGCCCAATTGTACATATCTCTGCTATATATTCCCTCTCACCTGATCAAGCAAGAAAATGTAACGACCTTAGTCAGTTAACTTTGCAAGACAAGCCTCAGAGAGGCAGAGGACGGAGCCTAAATTTGAACTCGTGACCTTTTTGTCAAAAAAAACCCATACATATCCTACTACCATAGCACCAAAATTTACACCAATGTTATTTAGCTTATTATTACTCTCGATCTCTAATACATATGCACCACAAAATATATATCAACAATTCATGCAATCAATTATGAATATGTAATTATTTCATCTAGAAACTGAGTAGTAAAAAAAAAATATTATAAGAAAAAAACATGAAGAAATTCAAGGAAATTAATAACACAAACCTTGTTGAGAAGTAGATGAAATCTTCTTAACAGCAATAGTCTGAGGAGGATCCAAAATCTGGCCTTTATAAACACTTCCAAAACCACCAGTCCCTAACAAATTATCCTTACTAAAATTCTTAGTAGCCTTAGCAAGTTGTTTGTACGTAAACTTCCTAGGAGCCGCGGCAGCTGACTGCCTCTCAAGCTCTTCCATTCTCCGAATCCTCTCCCTCTTCTTGATCATTCTTCGTCGAAACACAGGGATCGCAATCAATGCAAAGATGAACAACGCCCCTACAACCGGTATCACACTCGCCAACACGATGGCCTTCTTCTTGTTATCCTTGACAGTGTAGTAAGGCAACATTTTAGAAGTGAAAATCCAATCATGTATTTGGTGAGTCTCAGTTAGTGTACCAGTTGAAGCTGTAAAACCTAAGTATACTTGACTTGGGATTTTCTTTGAGACTTTTATTTTGTAATTTATGACCCTTTTTAATGGACTTCCTTCATAACCCACAAATATTTCTAGCATTTTTGTCCAACCATCGTATTCAATCTTCACTCTAATTTGTTTGCCACTTTTGAGATAGATTTTGGATGAATTTAAGGTTTGTGTAACCAAAGAATTCATTACACTTATTGTGTTAATTCCAATGTGATTTCCATCTGGATCCCACTCGTTCTTGAATGTGTCAAATTCAATTGCTAGTTGTTGGAATTTTGAGTGACCTGATAAATCAATCAATATAATCAATTTAGGAGAATTAATCAAGCAACATAAATTTCTAAAGTGAGAAAATTTTTAAATAAACATATGCATACAAGAAATAATGTTAGTTAACTACGAGGTCGACATGACTAGTTAATACAGAATCTTAAGTCAGGTTTAGTTTTGAGTCAAGTTTATTCAAGTCCAGATTAATTTTTGGCCGAGGTAACCTTAAATATCTCGCGAGTTGTCTTGTTAATTTCATTAGCTAGCACCCTTATTAATTATTTATACGGTAGAAAGAAGACACCTAGCTACCAAACAACACTGGAACAGTTAATCAACCCATTAAACTAAGCTTAAAGTTGGACTAACGTACAATTTATGAGGCTAGTCTTATGATTTTTTACTACCACATTTTTAAAAAAATGGATGACTGAGATTATTTGTTTTTTGATTTATTTTTAATTAGTAATTTTAATTAAAAATAATAAATTAAATATTTTAAATATATTTTAATCTTCTAGAAATTATTTTTAATATTTTTGAAATTCTGGAAATAGAAAAAATATATAAATTGATTAAAAAATAATTTTTAATTAAAAAAGAAATAATCACAACCGGTCATTTTAAAAAATTATGATAGTCAAAGTCATAATACTACATTAGAATTTTCAATTAGGTAAAAGATAATCAAACAATGACCTACCACGTTTTATTTCTGCAACTTGTATTTAAACATGGACCTACACCTTAAATTATGCCACTTTTTATCTGTTCTAAAAACTAATCTAGGGCTTTTGCTTTTTTATTATTATCTTTTCTTTTTTTATAAGGGAACCCTTTTTTTTTTTTTTTTTAATCTTTGTCGTACTTTGTAAAGAAACTTAATCTAGACCTTGATTATCTTCATTACTCTACTACTTAAGGTGATACGGAGTATTTTCTTAATGGACAATAAAAGAATTTTTTTTGGGGGGAAAATGAAGTTGTTTACATTATCCCTACAGATTATACTACCTTCGTTAATTTTTAGTTGCAACAAATGAATTTTTTATATCTCATAAATAATTCTCCATTGTTACAACTAAAAATTATCAGAGGTAGTATATATTTTCACTAAAAATCTCTGTCTACCAATGTCAAGTTGTTACGTACGGAGAAAAAACTGAGTGCGCAAATTATTAACTCGTGACCATATGTTATTTTCATATCCTGTCTACATAGTTGTATTGTGATTCTTTATATTGATTGTTATCTTAATACTTAGTGCCAAAAGAGATAAAACAATTTTGGAATTGATTCCACCAATCCATGAGTAAAGTGAAATCCTCATTTAAAAATCTGAATCTAATTTAAAAGTGCTCTTTGTATTTTTGTTAACCAACTAATTCTATACTATTTCCTGAAAATGCAGCTTATTTTAGTTTTTTTCTCAAAGCACCAAAATTTCCAACCTTTCAAGTACACACATGCTTCACACATATAGCTTTTGAAAAGTCAACAAGTACACAAATCATTGTCAAGTTCCTATTAATAATAATGCTACCTATAATAGAGAAGCTCTTTTATTTTGTCTTAACTTTAACCTGTAACCACCTTTGAAAATTAATTTAGTAAATAATTTACCATATGTTACATGATAATGTTAATATACTCGTATTATATTACAAGTTGCTAAACTAAAATAATTAGTCGAATGAAATTTAAGGTTATAGTTTTTAAATTGCCTACTAAAACATACATCATACTCTAATACAAGTAACTTTTTATTGGGTATAACTGTATAAGAATACCACCAAAATGAACTACTCAGCGTTTGAACAAAACTAAGAAAATTGATAAATCAAGATCCAAAGAATTGAATAAACTTCATTCTAATCAAAATTCAACTTCAAAACAATTAAAATTCAACATAATTATATTCTAACTGAACATAAGAAGAAGAAAATCACTTAAGTTTTCGACATTGAGAATGATTAATTTATAAGTCTTATGGTTGATTTCGCTTATATTTAATTGAGTTTTGATATGAACTCAATTACGGAGTATATTTTCATGTGATCAAATTTTCCTCCAATGAGGACTAGTGCTTACCCTATTAAAAAAATTATATCTACCATTTTCGAATTTTAATTAATATTAAAAATTAATACCAAAAAACAATATGCCCAAAAAAAAATCACAAAATTATCTAACAAAATAAAAAATGAAATAGATTAATGAATTACTAACCAGAAAGTAATGAATCTTGGAGACCAAGATAAGTGCCAAAGCTTTGAGTAGGAGAAGGGTTATCATCTTGAGCCATAACAAAAGTCATACCATCACCAGAAAACAACTGATCAAATCGAGAGAATATTTTGAAGGAGAAGCTTGTACAAAACGAAGCTGGCCATACTTGTACAGGAGCTTTGTACAACACTCTACCAATTGAGTTAAAATCCGATGTCGACGAGCTATTCATCGACACCGTGGTTAAATTCAAGAACCCTTCGCCGAGGTTGAAGGCTCCCATGCACTTGAGGTCACCCCCGGTTTTACAATTTGAAGTGTTGAAGGTAGGAAAGGAAAATATAACGTTATCTTGATCATCACAAGTTAGAGAACTAGTTGATGGTGTGACTAAATGTTGTAAGAGAAATATAGTGGTAGAAAATAGTAGGAATTGATGATATTGGAGTGTTTTTGGAGAAGTTGGCATGTTTGGTTATGTTTTTTGAGGAAGGAATGAAAGTTTAAGGAGGATTGATGAGATGGGTGTTTATTAGAAGAACAAGAGTCTCAAAGTCCTAGATTTTTGGTCATTTCTAGAAATATGCTTATGAATGCATAAATTACATATTAACTTAACCATAAGGTGATGGTCATATGGGTGGACTTGTCTTATTCATTGTTTCTTCAAAATAAGGTCCCACAAGTATATTTAGATTTCTTGTGCCCTCTAAAACAAGGTTGGACTCATTAGAGTACCACAGAAAGTTATTAAGTCTTGGTCATGTTATTAATTATCTTGTAAGAGACACTAGGGACCAGATTGACAGTGTCCATTAAATAATTGAAAGTTGGAATCAAATTTCCTTATTCCAAATGTTCAGATTGGGGGGTTGTTTGCATAGTTGTGGATAGTTGGAAGAATATGATACTCTAATATGTTATGACAAAATATAGTTTGGATTCATTATTTTGTCGCACACTTATTATCTACTTTTATAGTGATAATTAGTTGTAATGGATAGTATTATATGGGTGTATGCAACCAGCTAACCATTAATTAGCATACTAAATCTTGGCCGCACTAGGATAATACGGAGTACTACACCTTTCTATAACTACGGAATATTATATTAGCACCATCGTCATGGTGTATGATTAAAAGTACACATATGCAATGCTATCACTGTATGATTACAATATGCATAGTATTTTTGGACACCTAAAATAAATTGCGGACACTATATTATATTATGAAACGAGTGGAGTAACTTAGATGAATTAGCCTGTATGGTAAAAACTTACTCCATTAACTAGACTAGCTGTATAAAATGAAAGTACTCTGTACTAGATAGAAATATCAAATATTGTCAGGTAATGGTTTAGACAAATAAGCTAGTGATTGAATGGAATAATGGAAAATAAGTCCAAACAAATAAGCTAGTGATTGTATGGAAGAATGGAAAATAAGTCAAAGAAAAAAAGCTCTAATTCTATGATATTTATTCTCACAAAAAACTAGATAAATTGTTGACTATTTGTTCTGCCACTAATTATTAGCACATCAATAACCTATTAAGGGGCCTGGCTCTAATACCTTCCACTAATATTCTTTCCTTGGAAAAGTAATGTTGAATTGAACTTCTATTTTTATTTTATTTTTTTTTAATTCTTTGGTGGTCCTTGAGCTACGTACAGAAATTAAATTTTGAAAGATTTTGGTGTTTATCAATTTAGGAGACTTTTTTTTTTTTTCTTTTGAGGAATTTAGAAGACTTTTCTTAAAGAATAATTTTACGTACCAAAAAAAAAATCCATTATTGGAATTATGTTATTCTAAGTTTGCATACTAGTATGGAAATTTGTGTAAATGAAAAAATATTTATATAAGATCGATTTACCATTTTAAGACATCTTTAGTGAATCACTGTAAAATGGTAAAATATGTGACTAAATGACTAATTATAATAAAGAAAAATGCACCCCGTACGAAGTAGGAGTATAAAACAAAAGGTATACTGGTACAAAAATCCTTCTTGAAAAAAAAAGTAATAATAATTCATGGATGCCATTTTGGAAGCAGAGAAGATCGCAAAAACGTAATTTTGCCATGAGTGTGGGCCACAAAAGGCGCGACCACCAATGGGAGACTTGGGAGAAAGGAATAGTAGCCCAATTAAATGCATTTCAGCTCAACTTTAGGAAATTTACTCGTCATACAATGTTGTAAGTTTGTAAATTGGCAATCATAAGCTTTTATATGTGGTCCGTGTAATTGTATGAACAGCTATTATGGTATTACTTCATTAATGTAATAGGAGTTTTTTGGTCAGTGTTATATAGGATTACGGTCCTGTTCTTTTATTCTGCTATACTCTGATAACCTCTGCTCCGCTCTGCCCAGAAACTCAAAAGAACATGACCTACTTCATCAATGTTGCAGAGGTTACTCAGTCAGTGTTTTAAGGATTACTCGGTCAGTGTTTAGAAAATTAATGATGATTTGTGATCAAAATTTAAAAATAAATAGAAAATCTAATATATTGGGGAAAAAATAAGGGATAGATGAGTAAGAATTAAGAAAAAAAAGTAAAAAAAAGCTTAGGAATTAGGTATTCTATGTTAAGTAACATTTTCTTTGGAATAGGTATAGAAAAATCGCCTTTGGAATAAGGATTAAGTTGACAAATTAATTTGACGGTGACAGATGTGGGTTTTTCACAAGTAACATTTTTTTTTTCAGCACTTGTAGCTATAGTGGAAGGTATAATTAGTCTTGTAATCACGTTTTAAACTCTTAATAAGTGCCGAGTAATTTCTAAATTTTGAATGCAAAAGTACCTTTTAATTAGTGATTTACATTGCACAATCACTATTAACTTCAAATTCCAATTATTACATTATTTTTTTTATTTTTAATCCTATAATGCTTATCTTCAATTCTCTAGCGAAAATTAATAATTGCTCTTGTTAATCATCATACAACGGGTCTAAGACATTTTAAGGGCTAATTTGATGCACTTGAAACTTAAAATTGATGATTTGAGGCCCTAATATAATGCTTTGGGGTAAACAAGTAATAACTAAGGTAACACTGGCTTTAGGAGAATTATATATATATATATATATTAACATATGAGGAAAACTAATTTGTTTGGTCCCGCAAAGCTCTTAACACACATCTTAAGTCAAGGTTTCCATCGTACATCTTGTTGTAAACCATCCTATATTTATAGCTTACGAAGTATTTAATACAGTATGTAGTATAAGAGTTTTACAATATATCCTCAGTAAAGGATGAAACAACGTTGTGCAAATTTCTAGTGGTGTAATCAACTTTGCCTGTTCCTCTTTACTTTCATGAATTTTTTTTTTGGTGTTCCACCCGGCTTACCCATTGGGCTAATCTGGATTCGAGACTCAATTTTGGCTGATTAGGTTTCAATCTCCTCCTACTTATTGGTGCGGGGGATTGAACATAATGTCTTCCCTACCAAGTGCAGCCTCAATCACCACTGCACCAACGGCCAATTGATACTTTCAATAATCCAGTTTTTAGTATTCAATTCCAATTATTTTAGAATTGGAAGAATATTCTTATAGTTTGTCCTGTCTTATGAAGTTGTCTTTGATCATCCTTAATGGTGTTTGACATGTATACTTCCTAAGCAGTTAAATATTCTTATACAAAGTGGTCCACACTAATTGAAAGCCTCCATTTTGCTGTTTTCCTAACATTGTTTCAGGCTAACAATGATTATAAATTTATAATTAATCGAATTCTTCAACAGTTTATACGAAGTATTAGGTGATGCATGTCTTTTATAATTCGTACGGAGTACAAGATTTGTTGTATTATTCCTTACTCTGCTATGAATAGGGTAAATAGAAAACTAGTTCATCGTTGAGAACTTTGAAAGGAAGGACATTTTGGCAATTTCATGGAATGAACTCTGTCTCATGACACTTTGCCGTACGATTTATAAGCATTTTGGTCGTATGATTATTGCCTTATTACCTTGCAAGGTAAAGTTTTAAGGCGGTACCCTGAAGTTAAATCTCTTCTACCGTTCTATGTCATTGTTCCTAGTGATTTTTCGAAATATAATAGCATTTGTTTTTATTTCATATGCTTTAGCATATAAGCATATACTGGCCGGAAATGTAGACTTATTAATCACATTTGAACTTTTCCCTACCTAATTTCTAAACCGCCTTCCTTTTCTTTTCTTTTGATAGGAACTTCGCCGACAACTTAATGTACAAAAGGTTAGAAGAAACTTCACAAAATCTCATCCAAGCCGGATTAACAGTTATTATATTTGTGTTTATGCTCAATCTACACTTATTAATCACATATGAACTTTACCCTACGTAATTTCTAAACCGCTTTCCTTTTCTTTTCTTTTGATAGGAACTTCGCCGGCAACTTAATGTACAAAAGGTTAGAGGAAACTTCACAAAATCTCATCTCTAATCTACTTATTAATTATTCAATCAACATCTATTGATTATTTTGTAATATATGTTTGACTAACAGTTGATTTGATGTCAAGATCATCAAATACATATATAGATATCAATATATCAAATACTTGTACTTGTATATATGTGTAACACTCCAAAGTCAATGGTTCCATTGTTCATCTCAACCTTAAGATTTAATATCAATTTTATTAGTCTCACCCTTAAGTTAAATATCAATTTTAGAATACTTCTTCCATTTCTTTTAGTTGTTGACATTTAACAAAAAATTAATATAATTATAAATGTGTTATCTTTTTAATCAATCTTGATATATAAGTATAATTTTGAAATATCAAATTATACTTGTATAATTGTACTTATCGATCACTATTAATGGTAGAATCTGTGCATTGACGAATGTGACTAAAGAAACGTGACAGTTGGGAGAAACGGAGAAAGTACCTATTGGAGAATATTTCTTTTCCTAATTGATGATCAAAAGGTATGGTATGTTTTTGTATGTCATCACTTGATTATTCTGTAATAACTTTCTTAGAGATTAGGTTATACTTTTGCTTAAAGAAGTCATATATACGGATCTCTCGTCAGAGATTAGGTTATTATGATGCTTAAGAAAGTCATTAAAGAACTTTTGGAGACTATAAAGTTTCAACTCTAAATATTATTTTAATAGCCATGTGGCTAGAAATAAAAAAAAAATTACGTAGAATTACAGATAATGTAGAAATTTTGGTCACACCAACCTCAAGCACCCATCTAAAAGTTTTAGATAATTGAAGGGAAAAAACAAAGAAAAAAGAAAAGCTTCAAGATAGGTATTTACTCAATTAGGAATAAACAAAGAATAAAGCATATATATTGGTTATTGAGTACCCAAAATTTTAAAATAATATATCATAATTGCACCCTATAGCTTAATTTTTAGATCAGTTAATCGATGCAAAACTCATATCATATCATTCTGAATTCATATCCTAATTTTCGAATCAAATTTTCAGATTTTCAAATGGTTTTGTAGTTTGCACAACCCTAATTATAGTATATATAAGTGTAGAATAATAGGCATATCACCTAGCAAAAGGGTCGAAGACTCGAAGTGGGAGCTTTATCTTTTGGGCTGAAAGTAGACAAAATGAAAGCAAGCAATATTGTAACCTAACTAGGATGGATATCGCTCGCGATGCGCGGCCCATAGCTAGCAATATTCGGAAAACTCTTTCCATTTGACCTTACGTCACAACTTTATTTGTTAGTAACATTAATGGGGAAATATGTAAACAAATATTTTTAGGGGTATAAATGTCCGCACAATATTATTAAGAGTTTAAAAAAGAGTTGATTAACATTAGTGGGATAATTAAGTTAATAAACATTTTAGAGATTATAATTATCCAAACACCATTAATAAGAGTTATTTCTTACTTTTAAAAAGGTAAGAAAAAGAAAGCAATATTGCAATATAGCAAAGTGTCGTACTATTTAGTCCAACCCAACAAGGGTATTGCACCCAGTGGACTAGGGCCCAATTATTCCCTTTTGCTTTTAGTGCAACAAGCTAACTTCATGTATTTTTAGGAGCTTGAGTTATTGTGAAGTACAAGTATATAATTTGATATTTAAGTGAGATTTGTTTAGGGGATTAAATACTATAGAAAAGAGAAAGTAACTTAATAAAAAAATTCTTTTTAAAAAAAAATTAATTAATAAAACGAACTTAATAAAAAAAAAAAAAAAACTTTAACAAAATAAAAAAAAATAGTTAAAGGAATATGAGTAATTAATTAAAAATAAGAAAACTCAATTAAGAACAAGTAGCTTTAAAAAATTTGATAATTGTCTTTCCTCAAAAATAAAAATAAAAAATTGGTAATTGTCATACCGTACGTTGTACTTCCTCTATGTTATTTTAGTACTTAAAACGTAGTCTCATGACATGCTTTGAACAAGCAATTAGAGAAAGTAAACATATCACTTTATCAAAATATACAACTAATATTCATCACACCCTTTGTTTCGTGACCCACGTTCTGGTGTTTAGTACTTGTGAAAATAAGTTGATTGGCGGAATAAGCCAAGAGAGCCGCTGACAAATTAAGATTCAAATCCAAAATGAAGAGTCACATAATTTTATTTTATTTTTTTGAAGAAAAAAAATGAATCACGTAATTGATCTCACAACCACAACATAAATGTATGTGAACTGTATAAAATGGAGAAATAAAATGGGGAAATATTTTATTAGAAACAATAGAAATTGATGAGAAACATAAATATATACAACGAACTAGTGCCTCTAGTGGATCATTGGGAAAGACAAGTACTAAGATCTGGTGTTACAGGAGGCAAAATTGTTCCATGAACATTTTCACACTTAGTAGATAGGTTTAATCCATCTTTAAAGGGTGTTATTTTGATTTTTTCGAGTTCTATGTTTGTGCATGCCACACTTGCGCTGCAACGTAGCGATATTGCTTCTGAGTTTGCTGATGTACCTTGGAACTCACGGAACGTCACGTCACTTACTTGCACCGCACGTTCCTTCGAAAAAAAAAATTAACTTAAATTATTACTGTGATTATATTTGTCAAAATTTCTAATTCGGCCACTTTATTCACACTTTAGACCATAGGATAACATAAGTAATACGCGTGTTTATGGACAACAACACAAAGTACTACGTATTACTTATGACTATCATATATATGAAAATAATTGTAATTTATAGAGCACGGTATCAAGCTAACAATTTTGTGAAATTTAAATAAATAGAAAACAAAAATTACATGCAAATACTAACCGTAATTGGCATGAATCCCGGTTAACACAATAGAATTGATCGATAATTATGGGGTTTGTAGTATTAATGTGACGCCACTTACATGTCCTAATCCACCCTGCAAATCAAGAATACGTCATTACATAATCTAATAAAAGGATTCACTATATATTTGTAATGTCCTTGTGATTCATTTAAACAAAAAATAATAAAGATATCTATCGACAATCTTATGTGATCAATAACTATGTACACATGATAGTAAAATTGAGCTGTTAGTTATTAAAATTAATCACCTGGTACGTCTTAATCCTGGCTCCATTTGTTGATCCATTGAATATACAATCGTTCACAAGTACCTGCTCTACTACATCATTGTCTCCATCGTTTCCTAAGCTTCCAATACTATATGAAAGTTTTTTAAGAATTAACATGTAATTTTGAAGATTTATATTAAAATAAAGAAAATAAAGCTATAATATACGAAGTATACCTTAGTGCATGTATAAGTTATTTATAAATTGGAATAATTTCTTTCTTAGACACATTTAAATTTATTTTTTACTAAAATTGGCGTTAGTTATGTTCATACTCCTATAGTCCTAGAGTCAAAGAAACAATTGAAGAATTTGTTATGAATTAAAGATGAAATTCCAAAACTTAGAAATAAATCCTGAAATTAATTAAATTAAATCCTCATAAATTCTGGATTAAAATCTGTAAATTGATTAATACCTTATGCCATGACCTGGTCCACATGTAACCCTTGTAATATTGACCAAAAATGATTCACCCTTTATTGCAATGCAATCGTCACCTACATAATTTCCATTTTAATTAAAAAAAAAATCAACATAAAATTTCGAAATCAATATAAAAATTACTTTACATAATATGTGTATATATTAAAAAAATATATATAAATAAATAAATTGTTACCTGTCCCAATGATGCTGTTATGAATAAAAACATTAGTAACATTAGAAATGTTAATTCCGTCTGTGTTGGGACTATCCTCTGGAGCTATTATCTTTAAGTGTGATATTTCCACAAATTTGGCGTTAGCTATACTTATATGTTGTTTGCCACTATTCAAATGTGTTAAGCCTCTAAGTTGGAGCCCATTGCAACTATGAAATCTTAATGCCTGTAAAAAAAACATATGTAATACAAGTACGTATTTTGTTACATCTAAATTAAATTGTTTGGATGATTATATTGAAACTAATTCTATGTACTCGTACTAGTACGTCAAAAGAGTAAAAAAAAAGTTAAAAATTTTACCGTAGGCTGAGTGCAACCATTACTCTGAAACGTGAAAGAACATAATTGAAATCATGTTAATTGATATAATCAAATTTGGAGAAAAAAGGAAAAAAAAAAATGGAGTTAAGTAGTTAAAGTGTACAAACAATGACTGGTTTATTCCACCATAGTGATCCTTGGCCGTCGATTTTGCCCGGTCCAATTATTTTGAGACCTTGTACATTTTTAAAAAGAATCCACGAATTTTCTTCGCATTTGGTCCATAAATCAATAGTACTGGGAGCTACCAGATTTCCTTGGACCTTAAATTTTTAATGAAAAAGAAATTAGTATTTTTAACCACTTAAGCATCAAATTATTCATATATAGAAATATCTCAAAATTGTTATATTTATATTAGGTAGGAAAATAAATGTACCGAAATCTGAATTTGTGACGGTTTACATGGACCTGAGAATGTTAACGGCCTTAATAGAAATACTTTTTTCTTGTGGCACTATCAGAACTTGGCTTTCTCCACTGGTTCCACATACATCTGCCCATGCTTTAAGAAAAGCCTTCAAAACATCAAAATAATTGATAAATTAATTTGGTATCCTCATATATTTCGTACAAGATTAATAAAAATATAATCATAATCTTGGTTCAAGGAAATTTCGAAAAACAATTTTACTTTAGAATCATCAATTTTGCTATCACCAACGGCACCATAATCCAACACATTAAAACCATTTTCCCCTTGTGGTGTTTTTGGTGCAACTGATTGTGCCATTGTAGTGTGGCTTAAACTTAGGAACGCTAGGCAAGAAACTGCGAAAATGATTAGAATACCCTGCAATCAAAAAATATTATATCAAATAAAATGGCTTATACTACTGTTATAATCCAAAAGGATTACGTCACACATTCATCAATTAAGTATTTTGTTATTCGTACGAGTCACAAATTACACAATCAACACAATAATCATATAAATACAAGATTTAATCGACCTAGAACTAAACATGACCTATACAGAACAAAGAAAACTAAAACGAGCACACAACAATTCATTAATAAGGAACATCAACAAAGAAAAAGTTTAGCTAATTTGTGAGGTAAATATATCGATCATATATGCAAGAATTAACTCACCATACTTAGCAAAAACAAGAAGACACAAAGAATTGTATAGACAATATAATGTATTAAGGTTTTCACTTATGATTATTTCACTTATTACTAGTTGATTACATCTTTATATATGTATATATATACTCCAATTACAAGAATTATATATATCAGTATTGATACATTTTAATTGTATAATCTGAACGGATTATTCATTTCACTTTATGCTGATTATTATGTGCAGTTTATAGACTAATTAGTAGTCCTAATACAACTTATACAACTACTTTTGGTCACTAAATCAAATACGAATCATATGATAAAAGTAAGTTTTGATTTTTGCCCTTTTAATTTTTTTGAGGTTGATACTTCATGCATGAACCAAGATTTGTTTTTATATTTTATTTTTATGAGGAATGCATGAACCAAGATTAAATCCTGCAATCTCATATCATCATGTTGCCACTTTTGTATTATGTGCTGCATTTATTTAAAATTCAAACAGAAGAAGACATACAATTGGAAAGAACACAACAAGCAGGGTAAGCAATAATGCATGTATCTATCTTCTTTCCATATCTATACTAATATATTAAAAAGCGTTTCTAAAAAATTGCATGTGCTTTGCGTCAACCCTCCAATTTTAAAAATAAACGTTGTTGTCGTAAGAAAAAGAATCAGAACATGCCACTATTTAAATGAAATGTGAGACTTAAACAAGCATTTCAGTGTGACATTAATGATTATTGCTTCAAAATGAAATGAGTATACTAGTAATAAAGTCTTATAAATGTAATTTTGTAAAAGGTTAGCCAAGTAGTTATATTTCTCTAACAGTTTTATACTACGTAGTAATAACAGCAAGCAAGTAATAATATAGACATTCTCTTACCTTGATAAATTTATTATATAAATCATATTAATATAAAATTAAGTTATTTTTTTATTCCCAAACTTTTAAGAATTTTGAAATCACGAGAATCACTGTCCCAGCCATCGCTCAGGTTGTTAGACACTCACTAGTACTGTTTATTAAATCCAAATCTATTACATGCTATTTTGACATGTGTCAACCTTATTATGATGTATGACATGATGCCACATAAGATTTTCCTATAAAAAAACAATGGCATGGGGGCCGCACACTAAATAACTAAGTAATGCTTTTGCTACTTGAAAAACTCTTTATAGGCGTAACTTTCATGTAATAATGTATAGTATACTAATTTTGATAGGCATAACAACCTCCCTATTTAATTTTTCCCTACAATGTAACTCTTTAGTCTACAAGCTAATTTGCAGGAAATTAATCATACTAATGATACTTAACTCCTTGGATATATTTCCTTAATTAGATTCAATACTTTTCTTTTGACGAAAATTAGATTCAATAATTATCAAGTAATTAAGAGTACATATATACTACGAAGTATTTGATTATATGTAACATAAAATGAATAAAAACTATCACCTATAGACCTTTGTTTTTCTAACTCATACAAGTATATCGAATAAAAGAAATGCATGCCTTAAGTTTGCTTTTGGTACCCTTTTTTTTTTTCTTCTCCTTTTAGCTTTTGTATCGGCTTGATGTTGAGTATGTGCCTAGATTACAATTTCTTTTAACTTTATAATTTACAAATTTCATTTTATGCAATGCAGGCAATACGGTTTCATTTATTTCTATCATCCACATTGAAGGTAATATTTGTTAATATAATGATTTTTAAAAATTTCTTTCAAGTTTTGATAATTTGATGTTAGATATTTAGTAGTATACTAATTATGTCAATTAATAGCATGTAAAATAGTTTATATCTCTTCTTTGTTCTCAATTTCATGTTCTCGGTTAATATATAGATGAATATTATATTATTGTTTGGTTCTTTGAGTTTCAAAAGTTTGGTTGGCTAATTAATTAATTTAATTTCTATTATATGTTATACTCATCATTTTTTTTTTCTTCCTCTTTTGCTTTATTTTTATGGTAAAGGAGATTATCATTTTTATCCCACCTTACCTCACTACTAGGTCAAATTAATACTATGCAATAGATTAGATCAATAACTTAATACTAATACATACATCGGGAGTGATATGTGTCACACCTGGTACTGTTTTTTCCCTCCAAAACTTCCCTTCCCTTTTTAACCTTTTTTTTTGTTAGTACTAGAGTGCCTCTGTACTAACGCACAGGATATACGTAATATGTAGAGTTAGAAAGAAAAAAGAAGAGTGCACGAAATTGCAGGATTAGAGTTTTGGAGGAATTTGGTGAGAAGTTAGAAAAACAACTATTAAATTATATAAAAGATTACTAATACTTAAGGATATTGATTATCACAATGATGTCTTTGCAAATATGTCAATTAATTAAAATGTTACATACTTACATTTAGACTTTAGGTTTTTTTTCCATTAATAAAATATAGTCAAACGAATAAAATACAAAAGACAAAAAACGTGTCATATTTTTTTTGATAATTATTGAATTAGTAAAAAGGTGGTTATTGATTGTTTTTAAAAATATAAAAGAAAAACAATTGTGTTTTTTTTTTTTTTTTTACAGAAAATAGTGGACCTTGTGGTGGTTATTTATTCTTTTTTTTAAAAAAAAAAAAAAGATTGAAGTACACATAATTTAAATATTGATTTTCACGTGTTTTGCGGAAATGTTAAGAAAAAATGTGCAATAATAATATAGATTGCTTGTAATTTTGTGGTTTTTAATGATATAATAAAATAGGTTATTTCCAAAGGGAAAATAAAGTTTAATGTTAATAGTAGTTATTGCACCCTTGAAAAAATACAAAAAAATAAATAAATAACAAAAAGTGGGGATGGGTAGTTATTGATGTTTTTTTTTAATTGAAGGAAGTTATTGATGTTTTTTTAAAAGCTTAAAAAAAAAAAAAAAAAAAAAAAAAAACCTAAAATGCAGGAGATTTGAGTATTGGGGTTTTGGAGGCTTTATGTTAAAACGACTCTTAAATTATATATAAGATTTGATTCTATAATAATATCTTTCCATATCTTTTTTATTATTTTTATGACAAATAAATATTCTTTTTACTTGGTGTTCATAATTTTTCTATACACATTTACCTAAATAATTATTTCAACTACTTTTTAATTATCTTTTAAATGGAGTATTATTAAATTTTTCCAAAAAAGTAATAATGCATTTATTCATATAATAATTTTAAAGAAATTACTTTAAAACATCACTTATTATTTTTTTTTTCAAATACCTCTAGCTAATATTTTATTTCAATTTCAATATAACTATATATTCAAATTAATTACAATTTTGTTTCTAAAATTTTACTACTACGTATATATTATCACAAATTAAGGATTTATAGAGTATAGTATAACTATAAAATAAATGTTGTGGTTGACAATTATATCATATGTCTAATTCTAGGGAAAGGTAAAATATCAATCTTTTTTTTTTGTAAATTACGTAATTAAAAAAATCAATATCTTAGTAAAAGCAAAAAAAAATATATATATTATCTTTTGCCGAGACACTTGATTCAGATGACAAATTTATTACATTCGACATTCATAAATAATCTGCATACTAAAAGGCACGCCAAACGTAGTGGCAATTGATTTCTCCATATATATACAATTAAACTTTTAAGACAATAAACAAAAATAATAAAACTACAATTATTGGATAGTTTCAAACACATTTTTTATAACGACAAAGAATGACGATATATATCATATATGTAGAGCATCAATCCATAAACAGAAAATGTAATAATGTAGATTAGTGTTCGTTGCCCAAGTATTGATTGTTCTTGCCTTTAATGATCAAAGTAGTATTTATTTCCATTGAAATGAGTTTTAAGATATAAAAGGTGAAATATTATTTGTAATTACTATGTATGTGTAGTGTGTGTGTGCGCGTGCGCGTGTGCCTGTGCGTGTGCGCGTGTGTGCGCATTTTTGCTAATAGTTTAATTGGAGATTTTAGTCTGTTGTTTGATTAATTTTTGATATTTATTAAAAAGATATTTTTAAATAAGTATTTACTAATATGGCCACTAGATCTGATCAAACCAAACCCCGCCTAAAAAAATTCTCGGGTTTGGGCAGCCCAAAAAATCCATTTTTGTTTAATTTTTTTTGCTTTGTCTATTAATATAAGTCAGAATTATATGACTAGGCCAAGGGTAGGGTGCAAAAAAAAAAAATTAAGTCATATTCAATATGCAATTCGAAAATGTACATAAATACATAATTATGATCTTGCAATTGCTATCCCTAAGAACAACACGAAGAAGGGTTTTTTTTTATATAAATAAAACAATGGGTTTAATTGGGTGCAAAAAGATTGCAATAAAATGCACCCTAACGGCCTTAGTGCCTAACGTCCCTAAGCTACCTTTTTTTTTTTTTTGGGAGGAACGTCCCTAACCTACATTGTGCCACACTATTTGAAAGGTTTTTATTTTTTTTTTTTTTTTTTTTTTTGTGTGTGTGTGTGAAAAAACACACTATTAAAAAGTTTTGATTGGATTCAAACTGAAGTATGTGTATTTTTATATAAATAAATACAAAGTACAATCTAACTCCCAAGATTTTTGTGTCAAAATTATATACAAAACCCTAAATACCGCTTAGGACTTTTGAAAAAACTTGGAAAACATGTAAAATAAGCGCCAAAACTAGAAAAGATGCGGAAAAAAGGGGTTTAAGAACCAAATAAAGTAAGCGGAATTTCAATCAAATTTTAAATGGAAAATTCAATCCATGTAAATCAATTATTCAATCAATCAAATAAAAAAATTCATTAATTATAAAAAGTAAAAAAAAAAATTGAAAAAAAATTAAAACACAAATTTTGAAAGAATTAAAACAAATAGCCGCCAATCTTTAAGAAAAAGCATCACAATCACTTATGGAGAAATGGAGGATGCAACACCGTAAGAAATATGGTATGAATAACGTACAATTGTCTTTAAATCGCATATTTTTATGAAGCTAATTATTTTTGCTCAAAAATAAAATGAAGCTAATTATTTAGCACGTGAGAAAATTTAAATTATATCAATTAGCAAGTATCAATTTTTATTTAATATCAAAAGTATCGAATATCGAACTAATTTTGGGTTGAACATATTATTTAATAAATTCAAAGAACTCCTAAGCTATTAGTTTCTTTTTGCCATTTTACGGCTGATATTATTGGTTATTTGAATTTATCAGTGCACCCAATTTTGTCTTATACCTTAGTAATTAATATATCCCCAAGAACACAATCTGAAAGGATATTTTACAATTGATATAGCCTAAAATTTCAAGATAAAAACAAAATTTACTTTCCAACTATTGAATGCGTGCTCATTTAGCAGTATAAAAAAACAATGTAGACTCGTGCCATAAAATTTTACACTGTCTTAGTGAATACTCGACTATATATTACATGTATGCAAAAAGCAAGCTCTAAATTAATAGTCGTAGTTTGTCAAATTGTGTGTTCGATCAACTCAAATGGTAAGCCGTATAATTTATAATTTAAATTTTAAATTTTAAATTATAAAGTTCTTTATACATTACGATACGTAATTTTTGGTGTTATTTAATGTCGTCAACAAAATATACTTCGTAGTATTTAATGAGCATGAAAGTCGTAGATAAAGTTTTGTTTATGAGATTAATGAACTCCCTTGATTTCCTCTTTTTTTTACAAATAGATCATCTTTTAATTAATGTACTAACGTACTCTTTTATTGTTGGTTTATGTAGGGCAATTCCGTGTTAATTGTTGTGTACGTTCTTCTAAATGTTTCTGTCTCCCAGCTTGCTTCAGGCATCCGTATGCCAAATAATAGTCCTCTTGCACCGCCATCGAATAATATTAGCGTGCTAGATTATGGAGCCGTCGGCGATGGCCTAAAAGACGATAGTCTTGTAATTTCTTTATTCCAACCTTCGATTATTTTCGACATTTACATTATAAGTCCGGAACCAAATTAATGTGAAAATATATGATAAAATTATTTTTGGTTGATTTCTAATTTTCACTTAAATTTTTTAAAATATTTCCTCAATTTTAAGTAAGTTCTCCATAATTTTGATGGCAAATTACTGTGGGAAACCAAAGTTGTCATATCATATATATTTAGAACTTAGAAGATTTGCACAATATATTTTTATTATTATGTTTGCATATGTTTATTATAGCAACTAGCCAACTAGTCATAATTAGAAATTCTACGGAGTATATACGTATTTTTGTAAGAAAATGTAGGTAAATTTTTCATAACTTGACTAATGGAAGTAATTAATATAAAAAAAATAATCATAAAAACACAAATTGAAATAAAATATACGTGGACACGTAGTATGGCTGCTCTTTTTCTTTTTCTTTTTTTTTTTTAAAGCTTTGATCACATGAATAGTAAATAAGTAGAGCTAAAAAATAACGTCGGTGATAATCAACATGCAAGACTTATTAATATGGTTTATGTTCGAATTTTTAAGGCATTTTCAAAAGCATGGGAAGCTGTATGTGCTATTACAGGGGGAACTCCAACCCTTACGATACCGGTTGGACCATTCTTATTAACTCCAGTTTCTTTCCAAGGTCCTTGCAATTCAAGCAGCATTCATGTTCAGGTATATAAACCGATCCTGGGCTTCAACCATCAACATAAGTTTTTGGTTGAGTTGGTCCTTTAACGGTATCATTGATACAAATCATATTTATGATCAATCTAAGTTCATGCATGTTATAGCTAATTAAGTACGCTAGTACTTATTAACCTTAGTTAATGACAGATCCAAGGAAAACTCGTGGCACCCGAAAATCCTGATTCTTGGAAGAATTGTACAGATAACACTTGGATAAGATTTTCAGGCATTGACAACCTCACTTTAGATGGATCGGGAGAGATTAATGGCAAAGGCGCAAATTGGTGGCACAATGCTAACCTTTCTTTTGGTGATAATTTTGACACCAACTCTACTGTATGCTTCAATACTATGAGTAGTATTTCATAATTTATACTCCCTACTTAATATGTTCATGTACAATTCGTTAATCCCATACGTACGTTCACTAACTAAAATTGTCATTACACAGAGCAATGCGTGTGCACGTCCCAAGGTAATTCGAATTAATAAAATGTACTATGGAGTAGTATATAAGTTTATATGTGTGTGTGCACGCGCGCATTTAGCCTAGCTTCGGTTTTTAAAGTCTTTATGGTAACAAAATTACAGGCTCTACAATTGTTAAGTTGCAATGGTCTTCAATTAAAAGACCTAACGCATGTAGACAGTCCCAATGGACATATATCAATTGTTAATTGTAACAATGCAACTATCTCAAATCTTCATATAGTAGCTCCGGAAAACAGCCCCAACACAGATGGAATTGATGTTAGTTCCTCGACTCAAGTTCAGATAAGCGATTCCATTATCGAAACAGGTATGTTTTATCTTGAACATTCATGGTTTTCATGTATGTATTACAAACTCATTACTTTAAATCTTTAATGTAACTAATACGTCATATTTATGCATTTGAATCATATAATTAGGCGATGATTGTATAGCAATTGGATCAGGAACATCACAGCTTAACATAACAGGAATAACTTGCGGGCCAGGCCACGGTATAAGGTCTCTCAATCTAAGTACATTTATAATTTGCTCGAAAACTAAGTCTGAATTATATATACAAGCTAAGAAGCACACGTACATTGCCATGTCTTTTTGTACATGCAGTGTTGGAAGCTTGGGAAGAGATGGAGAAATGGCTCAAGTAGAACAAATTCATGTAAGAAATTGCACTTTTAATGGAAGCACAAATGGCGCTAGGATCAAAACATGGCAGGTTAATTAACAGCATAATTTACATAATAAAATTCGAATATTAATTCATTTCGAGTGCCTCTTTCTTAAGATGTTCTTATACTAATTTAATGTAGTTTTATTTGAACTTTTTGTTACATAGGGTGGATCAGGTTATGCTAGAAACATCTCTTTTGAAGATATTCCTCTGATAAATGTAGAAAACCCAATTATTATTGACCAATATTACTGCAACCCTGGTCAAACTTGTCCAGCTCAGGTAAATATAGTTTAAGTTGATGAAAAACTCGAGGTTGATCGAATAAGCCTCTTATACACATAACAAAGTTGTACAATTGAGTAACTTCTTTGCTGTCTTTCTTCATGTCTTATGTTCATAACACCGCGGCATGACCATACTAAAGAAGTCAGCTGTGGCGATTGAAGGCATTACCTATAAAGGCTTCCAAGGAACATCAGCAAGCGCGGCAGCAATTAGTCTAAATTGTAGCAGCACGGTTGCTTGTACCGGCATCACCATGGAGTCCATCAATATTACTGCTTCGAATCCTTCGGATAAGGCCTTTGGCGTTTGCATAAACGCTAAAGGAACAGAAGATCTAGTTGTACCTCAAGTACCTTGTTTTGTTGTCTAGATCAATGAATTGTACCCAAGAAAATTTTGAATTGCTTAGTAACTATATTATAGTTGAGGCTGAAATCATTTGGAAAAATCAGAGAGAATTTAAACATAATTATCAAATGTTATTACAAATTTTTGAGGTTAAGCTAATATGTGCCTTTGATCTTCTTAATTCTATAACAGGTCCCCTGTTTAGTTTGATAATACGAAGATACCCAATATTAAACCAATATACTGTTTCATATAGGTAGTGCAGCCAACACAAGTAGTGCTTTAAAAATTTATAATAGAATTAAGTTTCTTAAGAACATACTATTTTTTGATACCACTAAAATCAAGCCCTACTAAAAAATTGTTTGATTATGAAATAAAAAATAAAATAAAAAAATAGTTGAACTCACCCCCAAGTTAAAACTTGGGCATAAACCAAAAAGGAGAGCTTAATTTAGAACGATTTTCATGACTTCTATAAACGGTTTCCAACGCCTGATTTGTTATGTCGAAAAGTCCATTGTCAGCTTTGTCACCTCCAAAGATAAGAGGGTTCCCATTCCGAAATAGCCACTGATCATTGCTGAAATAAATACAGTTCCTTCTGCAGTTATGAATGCGCGATGCACGAATCGACAACGAAGTATTACTCCCAACGATGATTGCAACATCACCCAAGTCATTGACTTGTGCCCAAATTTTGGTCTCAAAGTTGAACTTGTATACCTTAAAATTAATCGTTTGACACTCCCAAGGATCATCGTCGTAAAGCTCAATTTTGTATCTGAATACCATAAGAAGTTCACCAAATGATTCCAACAAGTATACTTGATTTAATGCTTTGCAATTAAACGACAATGGTACTATGTAATCAGACAAAAAGGAGGGTTGAGGTATATACTCCATTAATGTAACAGGCTGTGAACTTAAGAGTGTACTGATTTCACAATATCCAACTCTTCCAAAGTCGTTTATGAATAGCAAATTTGAACCCCAACGCGTAACATCACTCACATACCTTTTGTTTGTATCGGGGAAATAAATCTCGGTCCATTTTCGGTCACCAGGCGTTGCATATTTTACACCGCGATAAAAGCTGCCAGGTGTTGTTATGACAATGTATTTTTCATCAGCTTCAATTACGACGGCCTTTTCTATGATAAGTGTGTGATAAAACGCAGGGCCGTCTTCATCTTTAACAGATACGTTGAGCATTGGTGATAGAGGGGGTAGGCAAATGCGAGACTTAGTTATCGGGTTCAACATGTATAGCTCTAGGTTAGGATCGAGTACGACAACCCAACCACACGACGAACCCCAACATCTAGCACCGTAAGTTTGAGGGAGATGTAATTGGTAACACCTTTGCTTATTAGGACAGTATGTTATCCTAGGGTAATTAGGGCTATTTTGTGCGTTTTCGGGTAGCATCAACCATGGCATCGTCCTAGTCCAATTACTTTTAGCCGTAGAATACGCAAACTGCCATGATTCACATACAACGGAGAAATAGACTAAGTCTTGGGCAGAATCTAGTTTCAACACTATTTCTCTAAGGATATCAACGGCCAAATCACTCCAATTAGCCATTGTCGGATTAATCTCAAGGTCTCAATCTTCTCCTTATTCACACAACGTGTATTTATACAAAGTATTAAACTCTAATTCTAATAGTACTCTAATTACCTACGATATAAAAGCAAATATATATATAAAGATAAATTTAGGGTTTTTTTTTTTTTTTGACAAGATAAATTTAGGGTTATGGCAAGATAAAGTTTGTTCTTATTTTATAACAAAGCAAACCTACAACGATTAGGTTTCCTAATTCTAAACAACTTCATGGGCATCATAAAAGTAAAAGCAATTATACCAACAAAAAAAAGCTAGATTTGGTATAATATGTAAGGAGCATAACGTTCTCTTCATGATATATGAGACAATTTGCAAATCAAGTATAAACTTACATTAAGATTTAGGAATTCTCTTCATGGGAAGGACTAATTAACTACGTGTTCAGTTTTAAAGGATAACGTGGATCAGTTTTGAAGGATATTAAAAATAAAAATAAAAAATAAAAAAAAGTTTTTTACATTGTTTATTTGGAATCATGAGTGCGAAACAAACACGTGCAAGAATAATAGTACTGTATATGTGACTGAATTCCACAGTTAAACTAAGGAAATTTTTTAGTACAAGCATGCAATCCCAAATCACTTAAACTCAACCCAAGATATACCCCCCAAGATATGTGATTGCTTTACGGGGAACAATCATCAAGCCAAAAACCGGGTTACAAGATTGCTATTTAGATACGAAGATCATCCTACACGAGTTAAAGTGTAGCTTCCGGTACGAAATTGCGTTACACGTAGTAGAGGACTTACTAATCATCTGATCTGCATATATATGTAGTGATAAAAACAACTGATAAGATATTTCATTCGTAGATTAATAGATTTCATCATCTTTTAGTGATTTCATGTAGCTCAATTTTTTCAACGTATTATGCGTGATATTCTCTATCTCTTAGCCTTTCTATTTTGTTCTTTCTTTCCTCTATGCTATTAAATCATATTGCTTGATTAGAGTTTTAAGTTTCTTGAGTGATCTTGTTAATTTTTCCCAAAAGATTATTTAAATTTCTTGATTAATTTGGTAGGAGTAAAATTGGAGAAAGTGGTTTGAACTTTTTATTACAATATATCCCGTTAATTTTTAGTTTACAAGCTAAGGAATATATGTTCAAGAAACTATTAAAGTATCATAATATAAAGTTCAAGTAATTACTACGAGTACTAGTCTACTAAAATGGAATGGAGAAGATAGTACTTAATTGTCAAAATGTACCTTTTCCATTAAAACTATGAGAGACTCAAACAAGTTACTACATTTTGGAAAGAAATTTAGATATAACATAAACATAGTAGTTAAATATGGATAAATGGTGCATGTTCCGTGCTCGATCAGCAATTGCAATATCGTTTGATAAGTTTTTTAAATGAGTATGGGGAATTTGTCCAAAGAATTTAAAAAACAGAAGAAATGAACAAAAAAAATTCCCTCCAATCCTTCATATTTTAAGCGTTACACTTTAACCGACACATATACTTTACATATATTGACTTTATACAAAAAGATGAAAGTGAAGTAGTTGGGCTATTAGAAAATTGTAAGAAAAATAGTTTAGTTATATTTTATTAAAAAACAAGGGATGTGAGAGGAAAACAAAATAATAAAAACTAAATAATCCCCGACAAATGCTCGGATTTTGAATATAAGCAAATAAAAAAAATTAATTACTTAAATTATGGACATTACTAGAAGTACAAAACATGCTTTTAAAATCTTCATTGTTCAAGTAATTACTAAAAACTTCATATGTTCAAATAATCTTGTAATTATTAATTAATTGCATATCATTATATAAAGTGAACAAAAGAAATCGATCAAAAGTCCTTCTCTGTTCTTGAGATTTGGTGGTCAGGGGTAATGGTGGTGGTTAGTGATAGTGGTGGTCAAGAGTGTAATGGTCTAGTGGAGACATGTGTCTAATTAACTTATTCTATAGACTACCCACTAGTAGAAAAATAGAAATTAGCACTGGTTCAAAACCCCCATATAGCATCGGTTTTGAACCGTTAGGTTATTTGAGGGATACCAAAAGCTAAGTTTATTCGCACCGGCTAAACCGGAGGTAATAATTGTCAATAGCACCGGTTAACCGATGCCAATTTGTTGTTATTAGCACCAGTTAACCGGTGCCCATTATGACTTAAATAAATAAAAAAAATGGATTTTTTTCACTTAAAAATCTGCAAACAATGAAATATTCATGTAATATACATTAATCACATATATATTCATCAAATAAATTGTTATTTCACAATTTATAAAAAAAAATAATAAATAAATAAATAAATAAATTTGCAACATTGAATTAAAACACCAAGATCTACATCTCAAGAGCACCATCCAGGATGTTCTCACACCGCCGCCACCACCGTTGCTGTTTCCGGTGTTCATTACCATCTTCTTCCTCCTTTCCTCCAAAAAAAAAATTAAATAAATAAATAATTTGAAGAGTAGCCATAAACATATCAAAAAAATATACATATTAAACACAAAAAAAAAAATATATATATATATAAATAAATAAATAAAAAGGTCAGATTACTTACTCTAAAAAAATGAAATAATAATTAAATTGAATTAGTTTCAATTGTCATGCGAAATTCTCAAAATCAAAGAACACAATTCAGTTGAGCCATGCATACGAAATTGAAGCAGAAAATTGCATATTACATCAATTAAACCCAAAAAAATCAAGGCAAATTAACATGAATAATTGAACCAAAACGCAAAGCTAAAGAACCCAGAAACCCTAACCTCAAATTTCTGATTTTCTAATCGAAAATTCATTCAAGTTTGTTGTGGTTGTGCTTGGTTATTCGGGGTAGTTAGGGATCGAAGATTCCCATTGATATTCTGAGCGTCCGAATTGGAAGGAAGAGGTGATTTAGATTTTGAAGCTATATATTTTGGGGTTGTTTCTAGGCAGAAAAAAAGGCGGGATTTTCGAAGCTGAGGGAGGAGAGATGAGAGAGAACGAGAGTAGAACGAGAGATGAGAGAGAAGGAGAGAATGAAATAGAGAGGCGGATGAGAAAGAAAGGGGGTAAAGGGTTTATAAAATTAAAGGGGTATCGGTTAACTGGTGCTATTTCTTTTTTTTTTTTTTTTTTTGGGTATTCTTTTCTAAAACAAATAGCATCGATTAACCATTGTCATTGTATTTTTGCTCACCGGTTTTTAATAACCGGTGCTATTTCTTCGGTGCTAAAATCTATTTTTCTACTAGTGTACGGGTTACCATTAGGTCTAATAGGTCATGGATCATAATGATGACAAGATAAGTAAGTATTAAAGGTCGGATTGTATTGAATTAATGGAAAGATGGAGCATAATGAGAAAAGAGGTAACATATGTGGGATTATTCCTATCAATACTTCAAAATAAATAAAAAATTATTATACAAGAATAATGTTACATAGCTTACTATGGACAAACTAATCAAGGAAAATGAGAAGCTTTTATGGATTATAATTATTTTCACATTATAAAATGTATAAATTTAACTAAGAGCATTATTAATTTGTGTGCATAATTGTGACTAATTAAATATCATAGACAATCAAGAATAATAATAATTTTTAACAGTTTAGTAATGAAAAAACAAAAAAAAAATTATTGTGATGGTAAATGTAGAAAAGAGGAAAATAAAAAGATATTGACATAGTAGAAATTTTAAAAAGGTGATCAACTAATTAAAATAGAAAGTATAAAAGAGACTTCAAGTGAAGTGTATATTTTTCTGTCCCCTCCAAATTTTTTTTAAAAAAAAAAAAACCATATTTTCTATAATCATATTTATGTTACACTTTTTAAGCGATCACATGTTATTTCCAAATAAACAATTTCTTCTTTTATATATATATATATACTCTTTGTACATTCACATCACTTGTAACATTTTACACGTACTTTCAATAATAGGATTTCCCTTTTCCTCTGTTTTCTCTCATTCCTTCTTTTCTTCTTCTAAAGTTCATACAATCATTTAGCAAATTAGTATAAATAATAATCTTGTTGCATTCGCAAACGCAGATTTCTCTATTGAGGGAAATTCTAGCGACAAAAAAAACCATTTCTGCTTTAATTGTGGCGGAAATTCATTAACAAAGAACTTGGCTAATGAAGAACATATTGAGAAGGATCATAAAGTACTTAAAGTACATGAAATCATTGAAAGGGATGGTTTTAGTTACAAAACCACTGAAATGCAGAATATAGAGGTTTTTGACGATTCGGGAATACAGGTTCATACGTATGGTTACGGTTATGACATGTGTTACATTCAACCAAAAGCAGGTCAAAAATCAATAATTCATTGTTAGGGTTGGTGAGTGCATAGCGGAAGCGAAGATGTGATTGATTGAGAAGTATAAATTGAATTGATAATTTGGCAAGATAATTAATATAAATGAACACACGATTTTATGTAACAACGAACACTTTTATTCCACTATTTGAAAGTAGGAGAGTACAAGAACCCTTGAGGGTGATTATTACAAGAGAACTCTCACTATAAGAAACTCACAAGGAGTATTATGATAGTAGTAGTGGAATATTACAAGGAGGGAGGATATTTTGTAGAAAGGCTTGTGTTTGGTATGGCTTATTGTGTTGTGTTTGTGCTATTTTTTTTATTTTTTTTTTGTTGTGTTTTGAATGCCCTTGACCTATATTTATAGGTGTAGATGGAGCTTGGAAGATTTGTGTGGAAACTTCCACATATGTAGATATTTTTAAACTCTCCACATAAGCCTAGAATTTTCATTGGCATTTAATAATTCTAGATTTTTCTCCAATTCTCCATTCTTCTTCTATCCATAATATTCTAGAAAATTCAAGTAGGATATTATTTAGGAAGCCTCTAGAATATGGATAATACTTCGACCAAAATAATTGGCTTATAAAAATTGGGTCACACCCAACATTCATTATGAATGTTTGAATTGTGAAATTCACATTGACAAGCATGTATTGTACTGTTCGATGTCTTGCAAACTGAAATGTATGCAGAAGGGAATTCATGGACTAGAGGCGAAGAACAAGAGGAAGGAGATAGAAGTCGGTGGAGGTTCTGAACATTCGGTGATAAAGAAGGCCAAGAAAATGACGGTCAAGAAGACGACAAGCCCGAACTAGCTCTGTCATTTGTTGAGGTAGTTAGTTAGTATGACAGTTGAATTTTACAGTTAGTATGACAGTTGAATTTTACAGTTAGTATGACATTTGATTTTTACAATTGAGTTAGTTAATTAGTGTGACAGTTACAGTCAAATTAGTATATTTGATCATCTTTGTTACAAGTTTAGGAGTGTTAAATTTCAGTATATATTAAAGACTGATTTAGTAGTTAAATGTTGGATTCATAATTAATGAAATAATATAGATTTTATCATCTTATTTTAGATTTCGTCATGTTCAATTATTAATCATGCATGATATGGCGTTATTGTTACTGCAGTACTGCATCAATCAATTTCTTCCAATTTTCTTGCGTAGTCTGTGTAATTTTCTAAATTGATTCATTAATCATTTTATTGTACGTAATAGTCGTAGTTGTGTTAGTGTTGAATTATAATTTACGTTTATGAGTAATCTTGATGATTTTGCCCAAAAATTACTGAGTAATTTGGGTAATTCATCAATTGGAAAATCTGGGTTTGGTCATTTGATCATTTTAATACCCTGTTTTATGTTTCGGCAACAAGTAGCATATATATTAAAATGGAATGGAGACTCAAACAAGTAAGAAGAAGTTACTACATTTTCGAAACAAAGCTAGATAAAAGTAACTAGATCTTTTTCCTTGAGGGGTTCTGTTTTTCTGGGTACAAGTTTGATCAACATTTACAGTTAAGTATTGTTGTTGACTAGTTCAGTTAGTTAGTTAGGCGGTTGAGTCAGTTAGTGTTGTTGTTGAGTTAGTTAGTGTGACGTGTTAATATAGTATGACGATTGAATGTTGAATGTGATCATTTCATCTTTGTTACGGTACTAGTTTAGGAGTGTTATTTTAATACCGTCTTTTATTAGATTTATGAATAAATGTAGGTTGTTTCAGTATTAAGACTGATTTAGTTGGTAAATAAATGAGTGTTTTTCTGAATTCACAATTATTAGTTTCTTGATTCAAATGTAAATAAGAGATTCTTATGTAGTAGTGCAATCATCTCTTATTATTGATTTCATTGAATTCAATTTCTTTCAAACTTTGTTGAGTAATCTGTGTAATTTTGTCTAAGTTGTTCGATTAACTACCATTTCTATAAAATAGCCGCGTTAGTGTTAGAGGATAGATGTATAATTAAAGTTTATTCAGTAATAACTTGATAATTTTCTTGAGCAAATCTACAGTTTATATATATATATATATATATATATATATATATATATATATATATATATATATATATATATATATATATATATCAATCATCTTAGCTTTAATCATTCAACTAACTGTTAAAATTTACATTTTTCAAGTACTCGTGTAATTGTTAATTGTCAAAAACATACTCTTCTAAGTATTTCTCAAAGACTCAACAATATACTTGAAGCAAAATTTGATATTGCTAAACTGCCATATGATTCAATTGATTCATAGTCAGTGCATATCATTATACAAAGTGAACAAATTAAACGAAATAAATCAATCGTCCTTCTCTGTTCTTGATTGGAAAATGATTACTTTGTTTCATTGGAAAATCGAGATCCTCGTGATTTGTAGTATTTGAGAAATATCATGTTTGATGAATAATTTGATGAGTTTTGACGAAAGAATTAGATGAAAACATGTACACAAGTTCAAGACAATCAAAACATAGTATATAAACATTGTAAAAGTCAAAACAGGTTAACTAAGCTCGAAAAAAAAATTAGAGGTATATTACATGCGTGCACCTGATAGTAGTGGACCCTTAATGAAAATGTTGCACTAATTATATTGGTAAAGCTTAGACTGCCAACATGAATGTTGTTCCCACCATTGACAAAGTGATGCATATCTGGAAGAGACGTTGAAGTGCTATTTAAATTTTATCTTTTGGGTGGTTATTATAGATAATATTTAGATGTTAATTATCTTTTTATTTTCATAGATTTAGGGTAATGGCAAGATAAAGTTTGTTTACAACGATTTAGGAAACTGAGTTTCCTAATTCTAAACAACTTCATGGGCATCATAAAGTTAAAAGCAATTATACCAAAAAAAAAACCAAGATTTGGTATATTATGTAAGGAGCATAACGTACTCTTGATGATATACGAGACAATTTGCAAATTAAGTATAAAGACTATAAACTTACATTAGGATCAGTTTTGAAGGATACCAAGGTGTTTAAAGTGTTGATTATAAAAAGATATGGTGGATTACATGGGGCAGGATCTGAAAAAATAAAACCAAAATCGATCTATAAAGTGTGTAATCGATCCTTGTTCAGAATTGGCTCCTGTAAAGGGGAGCATTCAATTGACCTTCAAAGTTACAGAAACAATTTCAAGTTGTTCAATGTAGAAGCACCATTGTTTGCTGGGTTATCCATTGCCTGTTCATCAAACTCGACCAACAAATTAGAGGGAAGAATTGCTAAACTTACAACAGGCGTGACAGAGCCTTAAATCGTTGACTTCAGGGAGTCGTTTTATCCTTAGGGTCCACGGCAATATAGTTGCATATGCTAGATGTGGTTATATTAACAGAAACTCGCGTATCAGGTGTTAGTGCTATAGGTATGGTAATTTTCACTAATTATGTAATTTCATATATCATGCTAAGTGTAGTACATAACAAATTTATGTCATGTAACCAAGTCGTGGACTCGAGGCGAAGGAGAAACAAATTTCATATATCCCCATTTTAGCATCATACACATTTCAGATGGGCCAAAAAATCAATTATCATGCTATATAACTGAATCTAAAACAGAAACAACTAAATAATCAGGCCCCCTATTAAAGGATAAAAAGGGCCACAAAAATCCCTGCTCATATCCACAGAAGTCAGTAGACAAACCTGCTAGCAAAATCCTATGTAGCAATAAAAAGTAATAATCCTTGATAAGTTGAGCATAGGAAAACTACAAATGGAAGTATTTAGCATCACTACGACAAAAACATAACTAGTACAATGAAATCTGACTGCCAGAATTACACACACTGCTGAACTACGCAGCTCACAGAGCAAATTTCTAAGCCACGGTCAGATTTCTACTTCTATCATCAGCCTTCTCCAAACATGCCTAGTGTTCCACAATGTGATCAAACAATGTAGCGCGTTCATTTATGAGGGCACTGCATCATAGGAAGAAAAAAAATCAGCATACAATATTAACTACAAATAAATATGAAAAGCTCATCTTTGCACACAACTTGTTTTATACAGCAACATGAATGGATTTTACAGTACTTTGATGTCGATAGAAATATTGTGAAACCACATGATTAAACAAGTGTTGGGGAACAAAAGATATTCTCCTGGAAAGTGAATAACCAAAGGGGTAACATATAAATGCCAAAAGAAAAAGAAAATTCAAGCAAAGATGGAAAGGAGTGAAGAAATAAAAAGATACATACACCGTAGTACTTCAAGACTCAGAAATATAAAGTACATGAACCAGATTATATACATACACAAACAATCTTAAAAATAAAAACACATCAAAAGACAAATTCATCAGAATCAACCTACAAGTACATATTTTACAATCATATAACGAGAGAGAACACAAAAATTGTACACCAGAGATGCAAACCATAAACAAACTTTCTATACAACGATGATAAGCAAAAAATAGAACATACTGTATGTCGAAGTGTCGATCTGCTCTGGAAGTTCTTTAATATCGACTTCAAACCTCTCTTGTACCTGTAAGGTTAAAAGAGAAAAAAAGATGGATTTTAAACCTTTAAACAAAGTTTACCACAACAAAACATTCAGAAGCAATAACAACTTCATTTTATCACATTACAACAACAAAGCCATAGTTCCAAAATAATATGGGGTCGGCTACCATAAATAGTCGTAAGGAACCATCTGAGAAGAAAATGTTAAAACAGTTGACAATAAGAATTTTTTTTTAAAAAAAAAAGTGTACTAAAAAAACACACAAATAAAATTTAAGAGTTTTAAAGGTATACAAAGAATAAAATTAAAGAGACTTTTAAAAGAGTTCCAAGATTAAATTTCAAGAGTTTTTCAAGAGTGGGAGAAAAAACAAAGGTTTGAGAAAACTTTAGCAAAGGAAATCAATAAAATTAATACAGCACGACTCAGTAAAATAGTACAAAGTAAATACTAAAACAAATTAAACAAATGCGTTCTTTGATCACATTACATTAACTAAAATAATACTAATCAACTCATCAGTAAAATAATTACTTCAAGTAGTATGAAAAATATTATAGAGATAGGATATAACATATTCATACATTCAACTATCCAAGACGCCAACAAAAAAATGCAAAGCCAGTAAATCAAATAAAAGAAAACAGCTGAATACCATACCTGATTCAATACATCAGAGTCAGAAGCAGATGCCACAAACGTAATTGCAAGTCCCTTAGTTCCGAACCTCCCAGCTCGGCCAACCTGCAGATAGTTAATATAAACAAAACACATGTAATCAGCAGGCAAAAGAGAATAGATTGATGGTGTTGAATAAAGATGAAAAGAAATTTTCATACCCGATGCAGATATGTGTCTGCTGAATCTGGCATGTCATAATTAATAACAATGTTCACTCTTTCAATGTCAATTCCTCTGCCGACTAAATCTGTAGCAACAAGTATTCTTTGTTTGCCATCCTTAAATCCCTTGTAACGAGCCAATCTACAAACATTCCAATTGAGAATAAGACATTAAGCGCAAGAAAAATTTATTGATAACCTTGACTACAAAATTCTACCAAAAAATTGAATGTCGTATGTTACAGAATTATAAAGGTATAAAAACTATAAATTGAAAAGGACATGAACCATATTAGAAGAGTGTAAACAAAAACTCAGTTGCAAGTTGCAACACATTAATTTCATATAACATTATATTTGCAGCTTACTTGCTTGCTTTCTTGGAATAGCCTTACTGAATGGTAAACAAAAATCCTAACAAACACTAACATGATGCAACAGCAAAAACCAGCAAAAATCCCTACTTCAATTAATTGTGCAGGAAGATGATCTGTATTTCAACTAACCAGATGACTTCTATACATGTCTGTATTAATAGAACAAAGATAGCATTGTTCTAAAGCTATCTTACACCACAAAGAAGTCCAGCAGCAAAACATACTGTCATACTTCAATGGAATATGCACAATCCCAAGCAAATATATGTAGTTCCAATTGATAACATTTGAGGGTTAAAAATCACAGCAGCAAGAATACTACAAAATAAGCTTTTCAAGACATTAAGAACAAAGAAAGAAGCAAAAACCTTTCTTCCTGGGACATGCCAGAATGGATGCAGATCGAAGGAAAGTTGCACTCCACAAGAAGTTTGTTCAACTCAGCAGCCCTACTGACACTCTTGACAAAAATGACAACTTGATTGAAATCCAGAGCATCCAACAGGTCGTTCAGCTTGCGATTCTTCTCCAACTCGGACAATTTGATGTAGTGCTACAATGCAAATATAAAAAATGAGTAAAGATGAAAACATCCAGTCACTCCAAAAAATAATCATGAGTTGATTTACACACCTGTACAAGACCATGAAGGGTCAATTTGGCTTCGTCATCCACATATATTTCCATCGGCTGAAAGGAAGAAATGTCACAGTAAAGAATATTAGGGGCATCTCCAATCGAAAGGAATCCATATCAAATGAAGATGGTTGAAGATCCCTCTCAGATCCACAGATGTCTCCTTGAAGATACTTGATATCACAGAGCTAGCACAAGATTGCTTTACAGCCAATTACTAACCCATCTTGGATCACATCATCTATAAACTAGGATTCTTCTCCAAGGATGACAATAGTACAGAATACCCTTAAGCCCAGACCACAACTACTCTCTAACATATACACTCACATGACCACCAAGTAACAGTCAAAACTTAAAGACACCCAAGCCCTTAGAACAACATAAGACCGGACAAAAAGAAACTGAACTGATGGAAAATAGTCGAACCAAGTCACAGTGAACCTCCCAATAAAGCCTACACTACGCTCACCCTAGCCTACCCCCAAAGGTCCAAGTATCTTGTTTACTGAAAAGACGAGAAGTGCATCAAAGAGAGAGGGAGCATTTTAGACCATAACATCTATAAACCTAGGTAGATATCTTCTGCAGAAAGCTTGGAAAATGGAAGACTTCAAATTCAATAAGAACTGGCCACGAGACATTACATCTTGCATAAATTTCTTGCAAACAGGTCGGATTGCCTTGCTTAGAGTTGCAGAAAACATCATCACTTGCTTGTCATGGGGTGTCATTTTAAAGATCTCCTGCACATCTCTCCTCATGTCTGCATGAAAGAAAGAAAAAAAGAGAGAAGGACCAAACCCTTAGTAAAAAAAAATTACGACATCACAACATAAATGAAACCTGGGAAAGCAGGAAATGCAAGAACGAAAATGCATAAGAAGCATACCAAGGGACTCGAGCATCTTGTCACACTCATCAAGAATAAAGTGTCTGACATTCTTTAGTGACAGATCTTTGTCTCTGGCCAATGCAAGGATCCTTCCAGGAGTACCCACCACAATGTGAGGGCATTCATTCTTGAGCAGATCCTTGTGAATTTTTATGTTGACACCTCCATAGAAAACAGCAACCTTAATACCAGGTAAATATGTGCTGAACCTCTCGAACTCGTGACATATCTACAGCAATTACATTAAAGAGTCTGTGTCAGCTAACTTTAATTACTAGCTTTCAAATGAAAATTGCCAAATTAATTTAATAATTATAGAAAAAAGCTCAGGAAAATAAATACCTGATATGCCAATTCTCTAGTGTGACAAAGAACAAGTGCAGCAACTTGTCCAGCCACAGGATCAATCTGTTGCAGGGTTGAGAGAACAAAGACAGCGGTCTTCCCCATACCAGATTTGGCTTGGCAGATGACATCCATACCCAAAATAGCTTGAGGAATACATTCGTGTTGCACTGAGGAAATACCAAAAAATTGGTGCGAGGGAACCCGCAGTGAGTAAAATATGACCTCCTGGTCCTTGTAATTGAAATGTTTACCAGACCATTTAACATCTCCAAGTTGAGTGAATAAGTGAATTACCTGGAAAAGCATAACAGAAATTTAGAACTATCCCCAACATGAGCTAAAGACAAGTAAAATCAGAATGTAACAATCATATAGTTGAGTCTATATAAGTTGGCCAAAAATAATACTTCATAAGCATTTAGTAACAACCATCCAATATAGAGGAATACAATGAACAAAATTCCACTGGAGATAATCAGCATATAGAAGGCAAGGTTATTAAATACACATCCAACGATATTCATAACAATAAAAGAATAATTGGCCACGACCAGAGCTACAACAAAACAACAGCATATTATCGGTGCAAAGACATAGCACTTGCCTTCGGATGGATGCTCAAAACCAGAGTCGACAATTGCGCGCAGCAGCTCTGGCTTCAGCAAGAAGTCTCTGAATCCTGAACTGTAGATTCCAATGTAACCCCTATGATAGAACACAAATCATTCGATCAGCAAAACAACTCCACTTTTCAAATAAAACTCCTAAAAACCTTGACCAATAAAATTTGACATACATATTTACAGAGCATATTGAATATAAATCCACAAATACATAGATATAAATATAATTTAGAATTCAACCAAAGTAAACTATTAAACCAAATTGAAATACGTTATCACCCTAATAAGTTTTCTCTATCATAATTAAACCGTCATAACTTCAACAGTATCAATCCATACATCACTATCAAAAGGACTTAATTTACATTACGCAAGATATACAACCCCAAAATTAAAAGAATTAATCAACAAATTCAATTAATTTCATAAGATCTGCGACAAAATTCAAATTTCTATGCTTTATAAACCCTAATTTAACAAAATACACATTTCGATTGAACAAATAAATCAAAAACTACAAAAATAATAATAGAAAATTACATCGATAAAACAGGAGTTCATAAAAAATATCGTACTTTTTAGCGGCTTCGCCGTTAGCTTTGGTGACAGCGGGATCTGGAACCTTCTCTTCTTCCTCGTCGTAATCAAGAAGCTCCTCTTCATAAGCATCATTTTCTTTGGTTTCTCCCATAGTAATCTAAACACAAACAAATTCAAATTCAAATCAAATTAGGGTTGTCAAAATCAAATCAAATCAAACAATGATTAAACAAGATCAAACCCAGCAGCAAAAGAAATTACAAAATTAATTGAGAAAAATCGAAGAAAAATACCTTCGGTAGTAGAAATTAAGAACTAGGGTTAGGGTTTATTCGAACGTCTGCAAAGGAAAAGGTTAGACGAAAAAGGGAAGATCGAGGAGAGAGAAATTAAGAGAGGAGGGGATAACAGGGATTATATGGGAGAAAAAATTGGGGGGATTTTTTTTTTGGACGGTTTTATCCTTGTTGGTTGTGAGTAATTGTAGGAACTGCCATTTGAGGCGGCAAGATAATCGTAGGGATAAAAGTTGGACAGAGGAAATAAATCAACGGCTAAGATTTTATTTACTTGATTTGAACTCTTATTGGCTCTTGCCTCCAATTATAAATATCCACATTTTTGTAATTTGTGAGTAATTGTCCACGTCAATATCAATCATCCTTTTTTTCTTTTGGATGATCACATTATTTTTTTTGGATTTTTTTTTAAGTTTCAAAATTATTTTTATTTTTTTGTTTTTATTTAAAGGTAATTTTATTTGTAGCTCTTAGGGCTACAAATAAGTTTTAAAATGGAGTATTAAATATTTTTCCTTATTTAATACTACGTATTAGTTTAAAAATGCATCGCAAAATCACGCGTAACTGGTGTAATTAATGAATATATTTCACTAAGGGATCGTTTGGTTCACAAAGGGGAATCAGAATGGAATGTAGAAAGGGAATGGAGGAGAATGGAATGAAACCCTCAAAATTAAACTTGTTTGTTTACAAAAAAAAAAAAAAAGCTAGGGAAGCACACCACCATTGCACCACCACAACACCCGTCCTTCATTTTTTCCACCTTCTCCGCCCACCTCACCGCCCAACCAATAGCCACCCCATCGGTCGCACCTCACCCAGTCCTCCACGAACCCAAATCCAAACCCACGCCACCCCCAAGAACCACCAAGACCGAAACCAAACCACGCAATCCCACAAACCATGACCGAAATCCAAACCCACGTCCGGTGAGGTGCAGCGAAACCACGACCAAAACTTAGCCAAGCAACCCCGCAAACCACATTCGGTGAGGTGCGGCTTTTGGTTCCGGTGGAGGGGAGGGTTTTTTAAGGTTTATACGTGGGTGGGGGAAGGGTTTTCGAGTGGGAGGAGAGGCAGTGAAGGGCGGCGAGGGTTGGGGAAAGGTCGGCGAGCATCCGGCGAGGTACAACGAGTTCCGGCGAGGTGCTACTAGTCCCGGCAAAGTGGTTTAGGGTTAAGGGGTATGTTGGTGGTTTGGGAAAGGAATGGGAAAGGTAGGGGGTGGAGAATGGAATTAGGAGGATTTTGGGTAAACCCAAAAATAAAAAGGGGGAATGAGAATGACAAAAGAGGGAAAACAAACACCAACAAAGGTAATCATTCCCATTCCCTTTCCCCATTACAACGAACCAAACGACCCCTAATAGTTTCTAATATGATAAATATGTAAATCAATTTCCTGTTTTCAAAATGATAAATATGTAAATCAATTATTTGAGTAAGGGCGTGGATTGACTAATAAAAAGTTATCAGAATTCGGCAAAGTAGTGGTTGGAGTAGTGTTTAGTGGTAGGGGTAACTTTTATTAAAAGTTAGAAATATAAGCTCTTGAAGATTAGAGGTACTTGTTGAAAATTTAATCTATGGTTTAAAAAAAAAAAAAAATTATATGTAACAGCTAATCAACTGCTCGTGTTAAGCACGGAGTACCATTTTTCCATTACCCAATTGTTGCATCATTTGTTTTTTTTACGATGTCCAAAACATTGTGAAGGCTTCAACATCTTTTCATGCTAAAAATCATTGTTCAAGCAATGACCTTAACATTTGAATATTCACTTTATTTATTTATTTATTTATTTTTTAACATCAAATCTTTGCATGAAAGAGTTGGATCCTTGGTTTAAAATGTCCTCTCCCCATAAGTGGTCATATTGATTTATCAACAGAAATGGCAACTTGAGGGTTTAACTTTGTGCCTATATTTTTTATTTTTATTTTTGGTGAACACGAGGGGTAAGCCCCAAAAGAAGTACAAAGCCGAACCAAAAGAAAAGCAAACGAAAACAAAACAAACTAAAAAGAAACTAGAAAAAAAGAAAAAGAAAAACAAATCCAAGCTAAGCAAACTAACTGCTTAGCTAGCTTTTATTGAAGCCCAATTTTTCCTTGGGAAAAATCTATCTAATGGGCAACTCAGTACGCTTCCTCTCCCCAGGAACTTGATATGAAACTTGTTTATATCACCCACTCGAGTCATAATGAAACTCGATTGGTCAAGCAGAATCTCTCTCGAAACTTCTCTTGAATCTCTCTCGAAACTTCTCTCGTTTCTCCATCTTCATAACCACCAACAAGTAGTGGACATCTTGAGCCTTCAAATTACCCATTAACCAACAATTAAAATCAGCATCACAGCCCAATTTCCTCCAAATTACCCTTGCTCAGAATATGGTTCATGTTCTCCTCAACCTAACCACATACATAGCAGCGAAACGGTTCCAATCAGTCATGAGTTTATCATTGCACGCAAGCCACGAAAAGAATCTTATCCTTTGCGGATACATCAAATATTAGTCTCACCCATTTGTCCATCCCCCTTGTCACCTATTCTTTTTTATTCAACTATCTTCTCCAATGTTATTTTTTTATTTTTTTATTTATTTTTACAGCTTCTACATTGTTGTTACTTTATAGCACTACCCCTTCTACCGTTCTACGTAAATGTAATGAATTACTCTTTATAACAATTCTAACTTCTATAATAAAGTGTATGTATAAGTGTCAATATCTATAGTAACAGTCAAAGTCTTAAAACGATGCATGTCTTATCTATTACGAGTAATATTATTACCATACAAAATAATAGCTCTTGCAAACAAAGAACTCTTTTTTTTTTCATTACGTGTTCTAGCCATATAAGAGATATAATCACGTAGCTTTTTTTTTTTTTTTTTTTTTTTTTTTTTTTTTTGGACGGACAATAACTACTCCATGTTTCTGAAATGTAAACCTCGTAATATAATTGTTTGAAATTTAGCACTATTAGTTGTAAATAAACTCATCCCTCGTAATATAATTGTAGAATATTTAACACTACTAGTTATTAATAAACTCATCCATTTGTCGTTGAAGCAAATATGTGGATTCCGATTTAGGATGATAAATATGATGTATATGACCTTCATCTTTGGCTTCAATCAACTTCACATCCCTAACCCCTTTTCTTTTAAGATATTCAACATACATCACACCTCTTTCTTTCAGAAAATCAAGTTCCGCCACATAAACCACCACCTTCGGAAATAAACTCCATTCATCATGTTTAAGTCCATCCTTCTCAAAGTTACACCCGAAATAGTCGCGATTTGATCCCTTAGGTATGCTTAAATTCCAAAACATATCATTCATTTGTACTTCTATGCCACTCTCAGCTGCCTTTTCTTGAGGAGTTCTCTCCTCACTACCAAAATAAGGGTGTATTAGTAAGATACCTTTTATATGAATGCTACTTAAGTCATGATCTTCACTTGTCTGAGCTTTTATGGTGATATTATGTGCAATGTTCCCTCCCGCGCTATCCCCTGAGAGAAACACACGTGAAAGGTCAGCTCGTTCAAGCCATGGCTCGGTGTAGCAGCTCTTTACTAGCCACTCAAGAGAGCTACAACCATCGGAGTAGGCTCTAGGCAAACGATTCTCAGGAGCAAGGCGGTAGTCAATAGACAAGACAATTGCTCCTGCTAAAGAAGCTAGGTCTCCTAGAAAAATATGGTAGTTTAGCCATGTTGTTGAGCCAATACAGAATCCACCCCCATGGAAATAAACCACCACAGGAAGCTTAAGAGTCGAAGAGTTTACTGTTGGTGTGTTAGGAAGGAAAATTCTTCCTGTTATAGGTTTGGATGGATCAATGGCTACATCTTTTGACTTGTAAATTTCAGAAGATTCTGGCGAGGCAGAAGTGATGTCAGGAGCAAAACGCTTCACAGTCCCATCGGAAAACACTTGGAGGAAACCTGGTGCTTCGGCAATAAGAGACATTGTAAGATTCAAACAGGGTTGTCCGTTTGTTTCGCTGATGCCTCAAATTATTTATACCCGGAGAATGGATGAGGTAAAGGGTTAGAAATTAAGATGTAGGATGATATTTGGAGAAAGCTTGGTGCTTTGGCAATAAGAGGACAGACATTTGAGTGAAAAATTTTTATATTCTTAGAATGAAATTAGTTGGAGAGTAGATAAGATTTGATAAATCATTCAAAGATAGTCGGAGTGCAATGGAAGGTGAGTGAGAGAACATGATCAATACAGGTAGCAAAGCACAGAAATTGTGACACTGAGTTATATCAGATACAGCAGCATGAATTAGTACGCACAAGAAGAAATTGAGGTAAAGGATATACTAGCAGGGTAATAAGCAGGAGGATAAAAAATTTACCGCGCCAGGTAGGGGTCGAACCTACGACCTTCTGCTTAGGAAACAGACGCTCTATCCACTGAGCTACAGGCGCCGTAATTGATAAAATAGATAAGCTCAATAGATCCATTATCAAGCAGAAGAGAAAACATTAGTCAAACATACACTGTAAATCTGTAATAAAGTAGAAAACGGGTAAAATAATGGTAAAAAGACTGCACAATTACCATCTAACTTTAGATCTTTTTGTACATCACCAACAATTTAACATTAGTTGTTACAAATTAGTCCTGACCAAACCAACAGTGAAATGATCCATACAAGCTGAAAGATCATCCTTCATTCTATCCACGAAGAAGGGTGCTTATACAGTGATCTTACTTACAGCAATGACAGTTTTAAACCAAATCAGAACTACAAAAAAACACAGATATAGGAAAAAGGCCTCATAAATCGGACAGCATGTCAGCCTAAAAGGGATTTTTCTGGCTCACTCTACTTGGCAGCTTGCTCCACAAAAGGGATTTTCTTCCAAGTTTCTTCCTCCAAAGTGCTACTATCCAACGGGGGCAATGAAAATGCATTCACTGTGGAGCTTCCACCTCGGATTTCTTTCAACACTCGTAAGGCTGAGAGAGTAAGCTTCATGTACATATTCTCCATATGCTCAATTTCTGATATCTCTTTATCAGCGGTAAGCAGCCTTTCTTTCTTTGTGCTGCCAGAATTTGACTCAGAAGCTTCACCTGTATTGGCTATTTGGGATGCTTCATGTGCTTCATTTTGTGAGAAAAGGCGATCGAGAGTGGCTTCACATTCTTTCACAAGCTTAGATATGGTGTCGTTTGTGTAGAATGGCTCTTGCAAAACCTTTTGGATGAACGGCAAGCGTATTAGATTACCACTACGCTTGTCATATTTTTTAAGTATCTTCACCAGACCTGCAAAGACATCAATGATAAGCACATCAGAAGTGTTTCAACTGCGAGACAACATAGACAAGATGGATATCCAAAGATTTCTTAGAAATTAATTAACACAAATATGCCTTTGCTGCACTACGTTTACTAGCTCCATCCATCCCAAATCCAGCCTCTCAAAAGAAAGCATGAAAGAGATAAGGGGAAAGGGTAAAAGTTCAGAGTTTACTGTTCAAAGACAGCAAATGAACCATGACAAATTGTTTTGCAACAAAAATACTGTTTTGAAAGTAATTAGAAAGGACCCAAAAATAGGCTTACATGGGCTATTGGCCTAACCCTAAAACCCAAGTCATCAATCAAAGAACAAATGATCTTCAAACCCCATATGGCCGTATCCATGGAACAACATTTCCACATTTAAATTAATTACTTTCTCTTTCACATATTATAACTCAACTTCTGGGTAGCACATGAAATGTCATGAGTCTTAAAACTTATCAGTATTTTATCCACGGCATCAAGTAAGCTAAGCAAAAGACACTTTCAAACTGTATCAAAGAAAAGCAAACATGGAATACAATATTCATGAGCAAAGAGATTTTATATCAAACAGTCAAAGAGTTAAGTGCACTGTATAGTAGTATCAAAGTATTAAAATAACAAAGGATAGAAGGCAGGAAAAAAGACGAATTAAATACCTGTATAGTTAAGTGCACTGTAATTTTCCAACAGAACCATTTCTCCATGAAAATCTACAATTTCCCTACCAACTCTCATTAACTCCTCATTTGAGTGTCTGGCCTCAGCTAACCTGTCTTGCAGCTCCTGAATGAGAAATAGAGAGTAGAGGTTAAATGGATGAAGGGTGGACTATTTATACACTAAAGGATCAAGACCATGCAGATAAATCTTCTAATCTCAAGCAGTCAGTCATAATCAAGGCAAAGGGCCATATTTCTCAACTTTTACAAAGCAGATGGATTTACAGTTGAAACACAAGAACGCTGATAAAAAGAATGAGCATCGGGAACAACAAAGCTTAGCATACCTCAAGACAAATTTTTAAGTACAGCTAATTATAAAATTGATAAATTGATAAGTAGTCTATTATGGCACCTGAAGCTATTAGTTAACATTCAAAGCCTTAATTCAGGACCTCTTTAAAATAACTCGTAAATAAACGAATAATTAACAAAGAGAAAAAGAAATAGAAAAAAGATTGGATTTCCTTCGAATGGGGCGTTTTTCAAAATACCACATTGCCATGCAACGCAGTCCCCTCATTTTGATTTCCGACCAGTGAATACCAAGCATTAGTACCAACCCAGTAAACACCACCAGCAAATTATAATCAGCAAATATCATGATGGGATGCCAACTCTCTGAAGTATTAAGTATCAATTATCTCTCTAATGCAATCATTTGCAAAAACATAGAGAAGGATAAAGGGTGATGTTCTTCCTTAAAGAACTAAAAAATAAAAGCATTTAAAGAGAACTTCAGCTTGTTTCATATACTGGCATAGTTTCAGCCTATCAATGAGCATAAGGCAATATTGATCTCATGATCTGAGAAATAGTTAGAGCTTAACTCTTAATACACCACTAACAAGCATGCTGGAAATCCAAAGTGGAATTTCCCCCTTTTTTATGAGGAGAGAGGAGGGGGGGGGGGGGGAAGGAGGAGATTAGCCAAGAAAATCACTTGGTGCAATACGAAGGCAGCCCCAGATGAGAGTTAAATTATTTGTTGTCTCATTGAAGTGGCAAAAGTGTAGACCAAATTGTAACATTTTGAAAAGGAAAACTGTCAAGAATGACCCTGATTTGACAAAAACTAATCCAATGGCCAGAATTGAATTATATGTCATGGGTAAATTATAGCCTAACTCCTTTGCACTAAAAACTTTCGGAAGTAATCCAAATTTAGAAAATCTGATTTTGACAGCATTATACAAAATCAACAAAATCCTAATTTATAACCGATGGCCTCAATCTAAGCAAGAATTTAAAAAAATAATGTTGCCATATCCAAGCGACGGGTGCCTCAGTAGTTAAGTTTGAACCCTGTGATTAGTAATAGCAAGATTCTTCTTCTTCCCCCTGTTGTTTCAAAACTAAGGAGGTAGGGAGCAACACCTAAAAAGATAATCTTCACCCAACTCTTACCAGAATAGAAAGAAGGAAAAAAAAAAAAAGGAAGTTACATGAACAAAGCAAGCACCGCATAGAATTTGGAGAAAGAAAAAAAAAGATGGAGAGAAGAGGGGCTCTAGTCTCCACAGGGTAAAACAAGCCATAATAACATGTAAGAGACAATAATAACACCGCTCATTAAGCTTGCAGTCATCACCTTCAATACCAACACACTTGCAAAAACCTTCTTTTTTGTTATTATGAGCAATTGAGCATAGGTAAAAGAATACAGGTAACAAACATAGAGTACGGCTTGTCAGAATGACGAATATGCACTGACTAAAAGATTTGAGTCCTTCCCATATAAAAGCTTCATCCAATTTTGCATGATAATTGGTCAAAAGAGATCATCATCTTGTGCATCAACCATGTCATTTCTTGTCAGTTTCTCAAAAATTCCGTACGAGAGACAATGGTTTTTTACATAAGTAGGCCGACGATATCTAAGATACACTAAATGAAATATCTCTGAGGCACAGAAACCTAACTGGTAACTGAGGAAAAGAACAGCTCAGGAAGATAGATACAAGATCCATCTTTTAGGTAAAATCATGTCATCATTGTAACAAGTCATTTGGGTGAGAATCAATAATCTAAGGGCATTTCTTAATATGTTCAATATTTGACAAAGTTCTCCGTGGTGGCAGTGGGAAAACCTTTGGACGATGACAGGACTAACAAGTATACCTTGTAGAGAGAAAAATAGTAAATAGAAGCAATAAGTCTTCAGGTGCCAGGTCAACAGATGCCTTTCATGATTCATATTGCACTTATTATACGTATTCTAAGGAACAATAAAACAAAAGTCACAAGCAGGCCAGGTACCATATCAAATCATTAACAATTCTATAAATTAACGAAAAAATGAGTAGCAGGTTCCGGATTTTATTTCCAGGGGACTTTTTTTTATTGGGGGGGGGGGGTGTCTTGAATCAAGGGTAACACAGAACACACTTAGATATGGATAGATAAGTCATTTTTGAAAGATGAGTTTCCATCATATGTTGGGGGAACAAGGTTAAAAAATGAATCCCATGTTCCAAAAGGCTGCCTTTGCGACATCCTGGAAGGTGCAAAGAAGTAAAAGGCATTTACACAACACATCAGCAGTTATAAAAAGAAGCCTAAGTTGGTACCATTCATGTGGAACAGCCTAACAGGGGAAAATTTTAAAAAATTTATGGCCCTTATCGCGAATTACTAAAGAGAAACATAAACAATACAACTAGCTACCAAGCACTGCAATATTTCATCGCTATTGCAAACTCTATCATGGCATAAACTTGAACTTTCTCCCAAAATATAGATGAATTTCAACCTTAGTCTATCAAACAACACGACATGGGTTTATTATACTTAGCTAAAGTTCTCTACAGCAAACACAAACGATTAATTTGTCTAAATTTTGCAAATGGAAAGATAAACACCGAGAGGATCAAGTCGCTCATATAAAAGATCATACATTACTAGTTACTAGTTAGCAACTTAGCTTCATGGGCTCCTCAAATCACATAACCTTACAAGTTACGAGGACGGTCACCCTTTCCACGAAGACCAAAGGCTTACATTTTTTATTTTAGTTTTTGAAAAAGACTACTTTATCTGGGAATAAAGAACACTCTCCACTCTTTTTCCAGATGTCATTTATGCTCTGAATGTCAACTCAGCCTCATTGCCAAGCCTTAATAATATAAATTTCATCCCACTTGTATTAAGCATCTCAACAAGTTGCTAACATCACCACACTCGCTAACATCCCTTAGATGCTTAAGCATATGTGGGTCTCCACAATGCAGCGACCGATCACGGTGTCATGAGTCGCAATCACTCCGACTCTCAAGCTTTCCAGTAAACTAATGGTTACTAACTCACCACAACACATAAATACTCTCAAATATTAATTTTCAGGATTATTTGTCAAGTGCCTAAACCATTTCAACTCTTCAAGACATCAACCCG